ACTCTGGGATGGGTCAGGATGTATACACCTGGAGCGTACTTTCTGTGTTAGCTATGCCATGTGTTGTTCCCCGTGTTTTTGGGTTGGGGTTTTATGTATTGTGCTTGTTATTTTGTGTGCTGCTTGTAAGTTAACAGAATAATAGAGGGAGAAAGGGACCCTGGAGATCTTCTTGTCCAACCTCCTGTTTAAGCAGAAGACCCTATATGATTCCAGACACCGTTTGTCCAATCCCTTCTTAAAAACCTCCAGTGATGGACCATCCACAACTTCTGGAGGCAAGTCATTCCAATGATTAATTGTTCTTACTGTCAGGAAATTTCTCCTTAATTCCAGGTTGGATCTCTCTTTGATAAGCTTCCATCTATTACTTCTTGTCCTGCCCTCAGGTGCTTTAGATAATTGGTTGACCCTTCTTCTGCGTGACAACCCATCAAATATTGGGAGATTGCTATCATGTCACGTCTAATCTTTTTCTTTGTTAGACAAGACATGCCCAGTTCCTATGAACCATTCATTGTATGCTTTAACCTCCAGCTCCCTAATAATCTTCGTTGCTCTTCTCTGCACTCTTTCTCGAGCCTCAAAATCTCATTTGTATTGTGGTGATCAAAACTAGATGCAGTACGCCAAGTCTGGTCTTACCAAAACAGTATAAAGTGGTACTAAGACTTTACATGATCTTGATACTATCCCTGTTGATGCAGCCTAGGACTGCATTGGCTTTGTTTGGCAGCTGCAAGATACTGCTGGCTTATATTTAAGTGGTTGTCCATTAGGACTCCTAGATCTCTCTCACAGTTACTGCTGTTGAGCTTGGTACCACCTATATCTGGGCATTTGGTTTTCCTTGCCGAAGTGTAAAACCTTACTTTTCTCACCACTGAATTGCATTTTGTTGGATAGGGCCCTTCTAGATCTTGAGCCTATCTTCTAAAGTGCTGGTTATGCAAATCTAAATAAGGAATAAATAGGAAAAATCTCAGGAAGGATAAAAAAACATACAAGAGATTTTTTGTAATTAGCAAAGAGAGGAGGTGTCCTCTCCTAAATAGCTCATATAACGCTACCAAAATTAAGCATAACACGGTCAAATCTGTTTGGTTAAACTATTTCTTTTAAAAATAGAAAATAGTATGTAGCATAAAGTAGAAAAGTATATAACTCATTAATTGGTGAACTTAAAATTAAAGTCTTTGATCAGAAAAGGCGCTTCCATTAACCCACCAGATTTTAAACAGAACAAAATATCTGGTTATTTATTATTATTATTATTGTTGTTGTTGTTGTTGTTATTAAATGCGTGATTCAAAGAAGGATTATGTTTTTGTTTAGTTGTTTACTCATGTGTAAATGTAATAGACTTAATAAAAATTGTATGATTCATAATTAAATTTTTATTTAATCAGGTTGGATCCAAAGTTAAAGCCATATTTTTTTTTAATAAGGAATACAGGCTTGCATTGTGAACTTCTTTAAAAATGTGTCAGTGTTAAAAATATAGATGTTCATTTGCCACAACTAAAAAGCATACCACCGTTTAAAAATACAGTATTAAGATGTGTTTAAAAATAACAACGTTAAGAGTATAATTGTTTCCAAAGACTTCTAGGAACCATGGAGAGCTTATTCAATTTTTGTCAAAGTAAGTTTCTCCAATATCTGCAAAAGAAAAGAAATTAAGTTACTTGTTTAACAATACTAGAAGTCATAATAAATGAATCATACAAAATAAAGAGCCACATTATAATCTGTTATGCTATAAAAATCAATGATAACATAATTTATTCAACATCTGGAAATAAAAAAAGGAAAACATTTCCACATATGTTGTCCACAAATTATCTTATGTCTCCCTTAATATAAAACTTGGAGGATCCACATTGATTTAAACCATATCTTTATCGTTCATATTCTTAAACCAATGAATATCAAAGAAAAGATTACTAATATATCATGATAATGGAGAGGCAGACAAGCTTTTAACAGCCGAGGCTCATATTTTTATTTCTATTGAGATGATATGGCTGAGACTTCCAGTGTTTTTCCTCCAGTGTTTTGTTGAAAGAAGCCAGATTGAAAAGTGGTTTTGAGTGTGATTAGACCTAAATGAAGACTGACTTTGCTGTAATATTCTCACTGGAAAAAATGGGAAATCACATGCTTTTTCTTGAACAGGTGTCACGAAAGCTCAGTAATGTGATTTTTGTGACCTTCCTACCCAAAGAGGAAGCCACAGACTGCCCAAAATGCAGTCTTTTCCACTACATAAAATAATAATTCTTCACGTTGTTTGAACTACTTTTGTTGCTGAACTAACTTATCAACTCAGCTTATCTTGACATATGTTTCGACTTTGGAGACACATTTTTGGCAAGCATAGTCCTTTCAGAAATTCCTGATTCCTTTCTCCTTCAAAACTTGGGTAATGCACGGGAAAATGAGCTAGTCTTGATTTGATGCTGGCAATTCAAAAACCCTTAGCTGAGGAAATGGAAGAAGGAGGGATATTGGAAGGGTGACCCTGATGCTTGAATGCTTGACAAAAATTGAGAGAAGATGAACATGTATCCTGGACTAAAAAAACTGTTTTTAATAAATGCAGTAACATTCCACATCAGCAGAAGCTAATGGGAAAAAGAACTCAGCATGAATGCAAATTCCTAAAGAAGGGAATACTAACAACAAATATTGCAAATGATTCTAATAAATGTGGCTGGACAAAACAACTAGTGAGGGCCTGAGAAAAAGAATATATAATAGGAAATGTAAAGAGGAACAAATCACAAAGAAAGGATAGAAGTAGGTAACTTGAGACTGCAGAACTGATTTCATGAAAATAAAAACTCAAAATTCACTGACATTAGTCAAAAATGGTGTGGAGACAGTAACTTGATCCTTAACACCAATAAGACCAAGGAGCTTATAGTGGACTATAGAAGGAATAGATCAGACACCCAACCCTTGCTTATCAATGGAGACAAAGTGGAGCAAGTGGACAATTTTAAGTTTCTGGGCGTTACCATAAAAGAGAACCTGACCTGGGGTGCTCACATTACAGTACTGGTCAAAGGGGCCCAGCAGAGATTATACTACTTGAGACTTCTCAGAAAACAACAACTGAATGAAAAACTGCTGGTGACCTTCTACTTCTGCACCATAGAGAGTATCTTAACTTTCTGCACCTCTATATGGTTTGCCAATTGCACAGTGGCAGATAAGACAGCACTCCAGAGGGTTAACGTCATTGCCCAGAAGATCATTGGTTCTCCTCTCCCCTCTTTGGAAGAAGGATGTATAGCTCCCGCTACCTTAAGAAAGTTCAAAACATTCTTAAAGATCCATCTCATCCTGGGCACTCTTTTTTTGAGCTATTACCAACTGGCAGATGGTACAGGATAGTAAAAACAAGGACAAATTGGCTGAAAACAGCTTCTATCCCAGGGCAGTAAATATATTGAATTCTACATATAGTGCAATATTAATACAATATCAGGTTTTCAATTCAACTGTATAGAATGTGAAGGATGTCTGTTTGTGTTTTATTTTTATAGTTATAATATACACTGATTATGGTACTTAATTTCATTGTACAAGTTCCAATGACAATAAAGTAAAATAAACTAAACTAAAATGGTAAGTATAATTTTAAAAAATGTATTTAGGTATATCCTAAATAAAAGGAAAATAAAAGAATCAATATATCAAACTGTTCTGGGAAGATAGGATGCTAAGAGATAATAAAGAAATGGAAGAACTATTTTAATTCTATTTTGGTTCAGTTTTCTTTGACCCCAGGTCCCCTACATACTGCCACCCTCGCAAAAAATATATTCCACTGAGAAAATCAAAATGGCAGCAGCACTGATGTTCATGTCTGACAGAAACATGATCTTCAGGGAAAAATAAACCACATTCCAAACACAGAAAGAATGAAATCTGAATGAAGCCTTTTGAGAAATCTTTGAGAACTGATGAGAGTGACAGGTGACTGGAGTAGAACAAATGTCAGCCTGGTGTTCAAAAAAAAGAAAAAAAAGTGTCAGTAAACTACAAACCAGTCAACCTACATCAATATTTAGAAGGATATTAGAGCAGATCATAAAAAGAGGTATATGCAAGCACCATGAAAACATGGATTTGTCAAGAACAAGTTTTGCAATATCAATACATATCTTTTTTTAATTAACCTTCTTAAGAAATTATAAGAATACAATTCTTAGTAGACGTAGTAGACATAGTATATTTGGATTGTTGGAAAGCAGTTAATGATCAGCAAAATAGTTAAATATGGGCTGGATGGCACAATAGTTTAATAGCAGGCTTGAAAATAGTATTCAGACAGTATTCAGTATAACTCATATTCAGCCAGTTTGACATCATATTGGAGACAGAATTGGATGCCAAGAAAAAAAAAAACAGTCCTTGGGGCCTCTTCTTTTCAGTAGTAATGACTTGAATAAAAGATTTATCTTAGAAGACAAAATTAAAATCATAGAAATAGAATGAAATTTACAGAATGCTTAATTCTGCACATCCCACCTTGAGTACTATGTACAGTTCTGGGCTCTACATCTTAACAAGGATGCAGAAAAAAAACTGAAACTGAAGGGGAACAAGGATGATAATCAGACTACAAAGCAAGTCTAGTGAAGAGAAACTGAAAGAACTTCGTACTAAGCATTAACTTCAGACTTAACAGTAATGTCTAGTAATGCTTCTGGATCCCATATTGACCTCACCGCCATCCTTGGAAACAAAATGAGGGGCTAGCTACATCTTTTTGTTTTGTTTGTGCACCCAACTGTCTGCACTCATCCCAAAAGACAAGGTGGTACAGATCACTGATTGCTTTTTGATAAATGACTGTCTGATGATTAGCCATGGCAGTTGCTTTGTGGAAGTACTCATTATTAGCCCAAATCCTCTCAAAAGTCTGGGAACTCTTGGTTCACAGAGTAAAGCAACATCTACCGATGTTCTCAAATACTCACTTTTGGTTGTTGATGTCTTAGAATAGTCCGTTTACTTCCCCAGTCACAGGATCCAGATCAATGTCATAGAAACAAGGCCTGGTAGGAAGTCCTGGCATTGTGCTCATCTGGGAATAAAAAAACAACTGGTCTGAAACACATATTCCAAAATTACTTGGTCCTGGGGCCAAGAATCTAATCACTTCCTTGCTGGCTAGTACACCTTGAGCTCCCTGGAACTTTTGTTTTATACTGAAAAGCCCAGCAGAAAAATTTAACTTATTTGATTTGGAATTGGAAAATGTTATCCACACACAATGCACATCTATGTCTGTGCTGTTATTTCATCATGACATCATAATTTGCTTTGGTTGACCTCCCCACAAAAGTTGTAAGTTTTATTAGCACCATCCACCAAGTAGTGAGATAATTTTCAGGGATAGGTGGATCCATCAGTCAAACTACAATTGGGTTTGTTCTGAAAAGTTGCTTCTGATAGTCCTTTTCTCTTTCTTTCCACTTTTCCCTAGCGTAAGAGCCTATTCTAGAGGGTTAGGTTTTTGCATAATGGGTACAAAATACAATAATTTGAGCCTGGTTATTTGTGCTTCAGGTGAGGAATCTGAATTGATTAGTTCTATTACTCATGCTCTGTTGGGTATATGGATACACCAACTAGGTTTGGGTGACTAAATATATAAACCTAGGTTTAAGTGTTTGTAGCTTTAAGCTCCAAACTGCAATGTAATTAGATAATTAAGGGTGCGGTTGCAAGCAGCAATAAGAGGCAGTGAGAGAAACGTAACACTTCCTGCTTACTGATCCCTGGTTGCTGCTCTGGACTGGTCTGGTCCCTGGTTTCTCTGATCTCTGCTGCCTGCTGTTTACTCCTGTTTGAGACGTCTGCTTGTTAATGCTTGTTGGCTACTGTGCTGGATACCGTTTCTACTGAACAAAAGGACTGTTTACTTGGTGAGCTGATATCCTGCGAATAATCAGCGTTGTCTTCGAGAGAAAGGTATCGGAAGGAGAAGATTTACAAGCAGATAAAGACATTGTACTGACTAGTTAATGGACTAGGTTACTGGATGGATATATTGGATAATGACATATGGACTGAATGACACTGCTTAAATTCTAAATGTATTAAATAACTATTTAAAACTACAAGCAGTGTTTTTGTCTCCAGTGTGTGTATACTCTTGGGCCCAGCCTCCCTCTCATTTGGCTGCCTGGCTTGACTGCTGCTGTGCACTCTGCTTGGGGGTTTGTCCCCAATCACTAACATTGGTTATGGGCCCAGCAGTGAGCACAGTCTAACTAACCAGGTTATAGCAGTGAGAGTTGGTGTGAGTTGCACATTACTGTAAAAACAAACTGTTTGTTGAATAGTTATTTATCTGAAGAGCAATGGCACAAGTAAATTTGCCAAGTCTGTCCATGATATCCAGACTAGATGGAACAAACTATGTTTCATGGTCAATGAAATGTAGTTTACTGCTACGAAGAGAAGGTTTGTGGGACATAATAACAAACCCACCAGATGTATCTAACTTAGATCCTAATGTTGAAGAGGATGCCAAAAAGATACAGGACTATGAACGAAAGAATGAGCAGGTTTTATGCATCATAGGACTGACTCTCTCAGACCAGCAACTGATTCATATCCGTGGAGAGGAAAATGCTGCTAACTGCTGGGAGAATCTCAAGAAGATTTATGTTCGAGACAGTGTAGGAGCTCATATCAATCTTACACGGAAGCTGTTTCGAACACATCTTGAGAAAAATGGAGACATGTTAACTCATTTAAACTGTATGAAAAGCATTTTTCAGGAATTACAAGAAAAAGAGCTTATATTTAATGAGTTGCAACAAGTATACATCATACTGTCTTCATTGGATCGAAGCTATGATGATTTTGTGACTGCTTTAGAGGTATTGCCAAAAGACAGTTTATCAGTAACTGAGATTACCGGCAGGCTATTAGAAGAAGCCAGAAGAAGGTTTGAACGTGACCAGCTGAGAGAAGATAAGCCTAATAAAGAAGAGAAATTATCTTCAAAGCTTGAAAGAAACCAGCTTAGTAAAGTAAAGCACCCGGAAGAAGAGAAATTATCTTCGACGGCATACACAATTAAAAAGTGTTTTAATTGTGGAGGCAGAGGACATTTGGCAAGATTCTGCAGAAAAGGAAAAAGCCAGAATGTAAGAAAGCCAAAGAAATCCTTTGAACTAGCCACGTTTAGCAACTGTGATGTGAAGAATGATTTATGGGTGGTGGACAGTGGAGCATCCCACTGCATCACGAGAGATAAGACAAAGTTTATAAAAATGTCTACAAGCTCTCAGCATATATCACTCGCTAACGGCTGGCACCTCAAGGCCAAGGGTGAAGGTATTGCATACTGTCCATGCTTAAACCAGAATATAAAAATGTTGTATGTACCACAGTTAAATATGAACTTGCTTTCTGTGAGGGTATTAGATAAACTAGGTTATGTAGTTACATTTAAGGATAATAAGTGCATACTGGAAAAAGATAACAAAAGGGTAACTGCAGCTTTAAATGGAACATTATATGTCTTACATGATAGTAAGAAAGGGGAGGCACAGACTATATTTAACAATATAAAGCCTCATAATGAATGTATCCATTTATTGCATAGGCGTTTGGGGCATGTAAATTTCAAAATGCTAAAACGCACAGTAGAGTTATCTGAAGGAATAAGGTTAAAACCCTGTGATAAATATTTGCGTTGTAATGTCTGCTGTGAAGATAAGAGTAAAATATTGCCTGCAAATAGGCTAAATGGTTTCAAAACTAAAGAACCTTTAGAAGTAGTATTTGCAGACATTATAGGTCCAAAGAAACCCAGTATGGGGGGTGCTCGATATATACTGAGCATTATGGACCATTACTCTAGATATGGGTTTTGCTACTTAATGAAAAGCAAAACTGAAACATATCAACATTTCTTCAACTGGTTAAAGTTTGCAGAAAGAAAGACTAAACGGAAACTGATAACCCTGGTGACAGATAATGGTACGGAATTTGTTAACAGCAAATTCCAGAATAGATTAAAGGTAGCTGGAATAGAGCACAAGAAATCTGCACCATACAGACCACAACACAACGCATTTATAGAGAGAAGAGGCCAAACACTACAGGCAATGGTTAGAACGATGTTAACTGATTCTGGATTACCTTATTCTTTGTGGGGGGAGGCCACAATGTGTGCTAATAACATATTGAACAACGTTGTTAACTCAACTACTGGTGAAATACCATTCACCATGTGGCATGGCAGGAAGCCTGATCTGAGTTACCTGCACACATTTGGTGCACCAGCATGGGTGCATATCCCTACACAACTCAGGCGTAAAGGGCAACACAGAGCTAAACAATTCTTCTTCGTTGGTTACCAAGCTAACCATAGGGCATATAGATTTTGGGAGAAAGGCACATCTAGGGTGTTATGTAGTGCCAATGCCCAATTTCTAGAGCACATAGGATGGGATAAGTTAGAACAGGATAACAATAAAGAAGTGATTATTGAATCCTATAGAAATCCCATTAATTATCCCTGTAACTTTAAAAATAAAGTAAAGAGAGAAATACAGGAAGAAATTGTGCCCATAGAGGAAGAAATAAAACCAATAGCTGAGCAAGGTGAGGAACAGGAACAGGTAGTAACTCTAAAAAGTCCTCATACAAGCCCTGTAATTCCCAGAAGAACTACACGTATATCTAGACCGCCTGATAGATACCAGGCTAACACAGTGTGCCAAGTAAATAGAGTTCCATATACTGTGGATGAAATAAAAAAGTATCCTTCTAAAGATAAGGAAAGTTGGTATGCAGCAATGAATAAGGAATTGAAATCCTTGAAGGATATGAAAGTTTATGAAAATGTGAGATTACCTGTAGATGTAAAACCCATTGGCTGCAAATGGATTTTTAAGATAAAAACTGATAAGGATGGAAACATAATCCATAAGGCAAGATTAGTAGCCCAAGGATTTAGACAAAGTGCCAATGACTATGATGAAGTATTTGCACCTAGTCTTAAAGCAGCAACGTTAAGGGCAGCTTTAGTGTGGGCTGCAAGCAAGAAATATATAGTTAACCATTTAGATGTGGAAACAGCTTACTTGCACGCCCCACTAAGACATACTGTATATATGAAAAAACCTAGTGGATTTAAAGGTGAAAATAATAATGATTGTTGGTTGTTAAAAAAGAGCCTCTATGGTCTTAAACAATCTGGCTATGAATGGAACCAGTATATTGTAAAAGAACTGAACAATATAGGGTTTAAAGCTGGTTTAGCCGATCCATGTCTGTTTAAGAGGGAGACAAATGGGAAAATATCATTATTATTATTATTCACTGATGATATTGCCTTGATTACTGAGACTAATGATGAAGCAAATAAAATTATAGCATCATTCGGTAAGAAAATAAAAATCAAGCAATTAGGGGAGATAAAGAGATATCTAGGTTTGAATATACTGAAAACACAGGAAGGTTATAAGATATCTCAGGAAGATAAGATACCTAAATTGCTAATAGATTATAAGATGGAACTTTGTAAGCCAGCAAAGACTCCAATGAGTCAGGATATTTGCAAAATGGATGCTCAAAGTCCCAAGTTTGATAAGGCAATATATCAATCTTTGATTGGTAGCTTATCATATATTAGCAATTGGTCAAGGCCAGATATAGCTTATAGTATTAATCAACTGGCACGACATAATAATGATCCGCTTCAATGTCATTGGAATGCATTGAAAAGAATTTTAAGATATCTTAAAGGAACATTACACCATGCACTGTATCTAGAACCAAAAGGTGATCTCATATTGAGTGCTTATGCAGATGCTAGTTTTGCATCAGAAAGAGACACAAGAAAGTCGACTTCAGGAACAGCCATAATGCTGGGTAAGACATTAATAGGTTGGAAGTCAATAAGACAACAGCATATAAGTTTGTCTACTATGGAGGCAGAATTCTCCTGTTTATCACTATTATGTACTGAGTTAATCATGTATAAACAAATGATGAATGATATGGGTATAACTGTAAATTATCCTATAATTGTACATGAAGATAATCAGGCAGCAATTCAAATGGCCACAAATATTGCAGTAAAAACTAGGAGCAAGCATACGGATTTAAGGTACCTAAACGTTAGACAATCTGTAAAGAGTAAAATGATACAGCTGGAGTACTGCATGTCGGAGGACAATATAGCTGATAATTTTACTAAAGCCCAAGGTGCCATTAAGCACCTAGAGAGTTGTGAAAAATATGGGTTTAGACTGTAAGGGTATTATATATTTATATCACCCAAAAGGGGAGAATGTTGGGTATATGGATACACCAACTAGGTTTGGGTGACTAAATATATAAACCTAGGTTTAAGTGTTTGTAGCTTTAAGCTCCAAACTGCAATGTAATTAGATAATTAAGGGTGCGGTTGCAAGCAGCAATAAGAGGCAGTGAGAGAAACGTAACACTTCCTGCTTACTGATCCCTGGTTGCTGCTCTGGACTGGTCTGGTCCCTGGTTTCTCTGATCTCTGCTGCCTGCTGTTTACTCCTGTTTGAGACGTCTGCTTGTTAATGCTTGTTGGCTACTGTGCTGGATACCGTTTCTACTGAACAAAAGGACTGTTTACTTGGTGAGCTGATATCCTGCGAATAATCAGCGTTGTCTTCGAGAGAAAGGTATCGGAAGGAGAAGATTTACAAGCAGATAAGACATTGTACTGACTAGTTAATGGACTAGGTTACTGGATGGATATATTGGATAATGACATATGGACTGAATGACACTGCTTAAATTCTAAATGTATTAAATAACTATTTAAAACTACAAACAGTGTTTTTGTCTCCAGTGTGTATATACTCTTGGGCCCAGCCTCCCTCTCATTTGGCTGCCTGGCTTGACTGCTGCTGTGCACTCTGCTTGGGGGTTTGTCCCCAATCACTAACATGCTCATTACACCTTAAAAACTGTTCCTACTTGTTCTTACAACAGCATATGAATTCATTCTAAATAATCTGTTTCGTAATTTTGGCTTTTAGTCAAGTTCTCTGTCTACGAAGACTAATGTGGTAAATGCAATCTAGGGATGTGGTGGGAATACCATTAATTCCCACCCTGAGTTTTTTTCCCACTAGAATGGAGACTTATCATTTCCAGAATTCCATTTATAGGACCACAAAAGCCAGGATTTTGACCCTTGAATTCTGAAAGGTACTTCTGCAGGCAGTCAACGTGATAGTTAATAGAAGGTTAGATTGATCACTTTTGCAGACCTCAGCCGCTGCCTGTATCACTGCGAGGGCCATAAATCGATGAGAAGTTGCTGTAACACACTCACAGGCTAGGCAGACAAATGACCTAACAATTTATTCATGTAAAATAAACAGGTATAAAAAGAAGAAATCCTCCACATAAATCTTTTTGTTGTTGTTGGATTTATAACTTCCAGACTATACCAAGTATAGATTACTTAATCCTTTCAACAAGAAAAATATTTACTTTCAAGATACGTTTGCTCTATCTCAACCACACATTTCATTAAACTTGAAATTATTTCTGCATTGGCTAAGGCTACAATCATGTACACACTGAGTATAGGATATGTGAATAGAATATAAACATCTTAAAAGGTCTGAGCAATTTTTGGAGAGGGGAGCACTAGGGTGTTTTCCTACATAAATCTTTTCCTTGCAACACGACACCTTCAACTGTATGCCCCGCTCTTTCCCCTTTCTCTTAAAAAGCTAAACTAGGAAGGAGATTCAGTAATTTTTCACCCTATATTACTTTTCCTAGAAACTTGTCCTGTTACTTTAAATCCAGGATGGGATACTTATTTCAATGTCTTCACTGGATACATGAGACAGACATTTTAGTGACTGTTATACGAGGCAGCAGTTTTGTAAGTATGATTTTAGGAGCCATCAGGTGGTCCTCAACTTAAAACTATTCATTTAGCGACTGTTTAGTTACAACGCACTGAAAAAGTGGATTACAATTGGTCATAATATCCCTATGCTCAAAATTCAGGCTCACGCCTATCAGCCTCTATTTATGGTGATTGCAATGTATCATGTGATCATCATTTTCAACTTTCCCAGTCAGCTTCCAATAAGCAAGGTCAATGGGGAAAGTTGGGTTTGTTTAATGACTGCATGGTTCACTTTGCAACTGTTAAGTGATTCATTTAAACAACCGTGACAAAAACGGTGATGAAATTAGGAGTGACTCACTAAAAAAAATGACTTTCTTAGCAATGGAAATTCTGATTCCAATTGTGTCAAGTATCCTGCTTAAATTCTCAACCTTGTTTATTGTCATTGGGTCCCTTAGAGCAGTGGTTGCCAACTGATGGGCCGCAGCCCACTGGTGGTCTGCGAGAAAATTTTGGTGGTGCACAGAGAAAAGTCACCCCCCCCCCAGCACCCCAAAGCAATTAATCCAGGCTGTGCAGGAACACAAGGCTGCCCCGCTCACATGGCCTGCAGAAACTCTCCCCGTCCACTCACTCCTTACCTGGCAAACTTGCCTGCTTTAGGACTGAAGATTTGATTATTCAGTGCAGGTAGCTGATGGCAGAAACACAGATCTATGACTGAATCTATGATTCTGTGATCAACTCAATCCACCTGCCTGCTTTGCCTGATTTTGGGTAAAAGTTGCTCTTTTTTAAATAAAAAATTCAATATTTATATACATGGTGTGTTGTGAGTTAATTTTATGAGTTTGCTTGCAAGCAAATTTTATGTGACAGGTAGTCAATGGCAGAAAGATAGATCTCTGAATCTGTGATTCTGTGAGCAATTCAATCTGCCTGCTTGCTTTGCCTGATTTTGGGTAAAAGTGGTTCTTTTTTAATTATAAAAATTTAATATTTACATAAATATTTATAATATTTACATACAAGCCATGCCCAGCCAGTCACATGACCAATAAGCCACTCCCACAAATTAGGCCACGCCCAAGAACTGTTTGTTAAGAAATTTGAATCCCACCCCTGCCTCTGTGTTTTTGTATTTGTATGAGAGAGAGAGGTGTGAGAGAGAGGTGAGATCAGATCTCTCTCTCTCTCTCTCCCTCCCACCCTCCCTCCTTCCCTCTCTTCCCTAATGTCAGCAAGCCATCATCAGTCAAAATTCATATTAGTGGTCCCTGGGATTTAAAATTATGAGTTTGGTGGTCCCTGAGGTCTAAAAGGTTGGCGACCCCTGCCTTAGAGAATGCTAAAAAAATCAGCTAGTACTATAGATTGACTTGTATAGAAGACTCAAGGCTTAATTAAAACTCAAGTCATTCAAATTTGAAGATGCCTACACAAGACAAAATGTTTTACTCCGCTGAACATTGCTACAATATGTGCTTTTCTATTTATACCAAAGAACATTTTTGGGGGCTGAAAAATATAACTTGGAAAGAAAATGTGTTTCTTTTTCCACTCCTTCCTTCCTCCTTTTCTTGACCCTAAGCCAGTGATATTCCCCGTAACATAGGAGAAGCTAATCTAGATTCAGAAATGTTATAGCAGAACTGTGCTTAGTAGAAATCTATTTTTAAAAAAGAAATCATACAAAACACACTGAAGGAAAGAAAGGGCTCCTTAATCATAAGGAACACAGGCCAAAAACAAGTCAATGGATAAAAAGTCAGCAAATAAATGCCATTTATTTCAGAGGTGGCCAACATGGTTCCTACAGGTACCAAATTGCCTATTGGACCTGAAATATTATTTTATAATTGAAATATATGAGTAATTGTATAGAATTTCATGCAGGTTTTTTTTAATAGAGGGACCTTGAAGCTAAATAATCCAATACTAACCCAATTGAATCCAATTTATATTAATTCAAGACTTCCAAGCCGTGACACTTACTGTTCCTACTAAGGGATAAAGGAATCCTGCACCCACGCTGGCTCGGACATCTCTTATGGGTAAGATGAATCCGGTGGGCACTCCTTTCTGTTCTGGGTCATGAGACAATGACAAATGGGTTTTAGCCATGCAGATGGGCAGGTTTCCAAACCCCTAGAAGACAAACAGAGAAGAGTCAATGATTGCAAAAGAAAGGACATACCTTGAAGAGTATGCCAGAAAAAAGTTACCAAATTATACAAAGTCACATCCATTTGGCTCTAGCTTTTCTTAGTTTAAGCAGATCAATTGCATCATAAATTGATTCATCTGAGTCTGTTAGATTATCTCTGTCAATCACATGTATCTCTTTTCTAACTATCAAAGATGTTTAGTTTTAACATTAAAAAATAATGTTGAGTAGACATTTTGAAGTTGCATTTCCAATTTATTTGAAGGATCCCTGCTTAAGGGGCAGGCTCTTCAAAGAAGTGACACAGATCTACTCTTACTCTTTCATTTCAACATTGTCTGCCCCCATTTAATGTTTGTGCCCCAGGTATTGAATATATAAAGCATTCTGTAGATAGATCAGTCCAGCATTAAATATATATGGCAGCCAGGAAAAAAAATGCCATCACAGATGTCAATTTAAGCAAGAAACAGGGCCCTTCACACACTCTGGGATATCCAGTAAATTAAATATCCAGTGAAACTGCCAACTTTGAAAAGTGCAAAATGCATTTTAAATGGACCCACAGGAAATTAAGAAGAAAAATCCTTGTATGGCACATAGAAAGAATGCCTCCATATGAATTAATCTAAAATTGTTTGTGTGATATATATAACACATAATTAACCAAAAAAATCTGGACTGCCATCTGTCAGAAATGGTGTAGGGTCTCCTGCTTAGGCAGGGGATTGGACTAGATGACCTACAAGGTCCCATCCAACTCTGTTAATCTGTCTGTTAAATCCCTCCTACCCTTTTGTATCAAGACATGTTGAATATCATCTCATGAAAGTGCTGTATTAAAGCCATGTCAAATGCTGAAAGAAGTCTTCTCTTCCAAAAGGAAATTTTTCTAAAGAATTTCGCACTAGTTTTACTTCTTAAAAATGTAGTTATGCCCAATTCTGCTTGCATACCCAGATAAAATCAGAAGATGCATTAAGTTTAGCCCAGACACAGGATGCCTGTAGGTGTACCTGTTTGGTATATTGAATGATTTTCAACTCAGCTTCTGGCAGCAGTTCAATGTCATTTGCCCCATAGATCTTCTGTGCAATAATTCTGATCTTCTCTACAACTGGCAGCTTGGAACACATACAAAAAATGGGGAAAATATGTCAGGGTGAGTTTCTTTGATCCTCACAACATACTGAATTAAGACACAGCAACCCTTTGGACTGTAGACAATCACTGCAGTTCCATCAAACATCTTTTTTCAGCAGAAAATGTATTGCAATATAATTGCAACAGGAAAATGGGAAGTTTGGAAGCGGACAAACTTGGCCAGAATCCTCCAATCTGCTACTATCCGGATCTATTTAGATTTTCAGTTCCCCAAACTCCTAAATCAATATGAAAATATCAACACAACCAGGGGTCACTGGCTTAGGAAAATCATTTAGTCTGGAACAGAATATATGCCACTCCCACAGTTATTAGAAACTGCCTTTCCCTCCATAGCTATAGACATAGACTAGGCTGAAATATCACGCTCAACCAAAATCAAACAAACGACATTATGGCTTACTGGGAATAAGTAGCTATGGCTTGGTTCAGATATCACCACCAGCTATGATTTAACATGATATGTGAATTATATAGGCATAAGTTACTTAGGAGGAGTGACATGTTTGAAGCACACACAATGGAGTCTCCCAACTCGCTTTGGTTTTTTCACTGCCACACGAAGTGACTCTTCCTGGAAGCCTGGCACTCAGAGAAATCAGCCATCAACAGGCACATAGAGATAAACATCTACATATCATTCAAGAGAGATAATTTAAAAAGCCAAAAAAGAAACAACCCCCCAACCACTTCCTTGCCAGCAATCATCAGCCTGATAAACAGAGATTAACATCAAGATTAATATTAACCTACCACTCAAGAAGTGCACAATATCCCAACCAAGGGAGGCCAACTGAGATAAACAAACTAACACTAAACAACAGCCTAATCAAGGAATCACCAAGAACATTCCCACCTATATTGACAGGAAAAGCCACTAATATGTACAAAGAGAGCAAACCCCATTCCCTTCTAGCACTGATAATATTACCTAGTTGGGTAATGAAATATCTACAAGAAAACAGCCAAGCTCAGAGAGTACTAAGGAACCCACCACCTCTGAGCTATAAATATTCTCTGCTATCAGCCTCTTTCAGCATCTATATGGAGAAAGTGTTGCTACTTTAGCAGATAAAAGTATCATTGCTATATTGGGGACTACATTGATTCCTGCACAACCAACCAGTAGTCCAATTGGGCAGCGTTACTGTGGGGTGACAATTACCACAAACCCATGAAAGGATGACATATGAATGTGCTTTCTTTTTCCTGACTGAGCAAGAGTCAAAGCTGTAACATGGTGTGCTGGTTATGACTTAGTGTAGCCTATTCAACAATCTGTGATTAAAACAACCATAGCTTAGCACAGGGGTGTCAAACACAAGGCCCGTGGGCTGGATCCGGCCTATGGGGTGTTTAGAACTGGCCCATGGGGCCCCCTTGGAAACAATGAAGGACTAGCCCATGGGGCCTCTGCTAGAGAAATAGAGCTCTGCCAGAGAAAATGGAGCAAAAACGGCCTTCTGCAGCCCTCTGCAAGTGAAAACACAGTAAAAATGGCTTCCTGCAGCCAGCCCTCTGCCAGCAAAAACAGTCTGCTATAGGCCTCTGCCAGAGAAAATGGAGCTCCTAGGCTTCATTTCCGCTAGCAGAGCACTCGGGCTACCATAGGTGCCCCAACAGGAGTGACGTTGAGCTGGCCACGCCGCCCTGGCCATGCCAACCCGGCCCTTGAGGTTGAACACAAGCCTGATGCGGCCCTCAATAAAATTGAATTTGACACCCCTGGCTTAGCACAAAAGGGGAGCTAAGATACACATAGACTCTGAGAGGAAAGATGAAATTAATCTCTCCTCCCCAGGGCCTCTGGGATCTGTTTCTTTACTACTACTAAGTGATGGCAATTCTCCATACTTATTGACATTGTCTTTTTCCTGGAGGGTGGGGAATAATAAAATGTACCCTGTGGCATACATATGTTTTATACACAGGTCATGTTGCATGCCCATACAAAAGGCAAAGAACTTTTGTCATTTTGATGAAACCTAAATCACGTCAATGAATACATGTAAAATGTAGCTTTATACAGTTATAAGTCACAATAAGACATAGCCCTTTAAAATTATAACTCTTTCTCTATGCTTTTCCATTGAATAAGTCTCTCAAATCACTCCATGAAAGAAGAGGAGATTACAAGAAACTTGACAGGAATGACAAGAAAGTTTCAAATTTGTCCAGGGCACTAAAATTTAGGGCTGGTAAGAAAGAAAAAATGTGGACAGAAACTTAATGACAGCTAAAACAGCTTGATTTCTAGTGAGTTTAAGTGTTCTTTCAAATCATCCATCATCAAGACACTAAGTTTTAAAACTATTATTTTCCTCTTGAACATAAAAATCAAGTTCTGGCTACTGGGAACAGCTGCAGATGATGTTAGAAAATAATTTGATTGTGCTGCTGAGTCAAAGACCATGAAACCTGAATTAAATTTAGTTGAAGAGAGCCAGGATATTTGTCTGCATTTATAAATCTGGTTCAGCTAATATCCCCATGGAAGCCAAGACAAATATTTCTGTAACCAGCTGTGATAATCCTGCATATCTGGTCCTGTTGTTGTAATCCTGCTCAATATCCAAGATTCTTCACTTTCCGAAATTATTTATTTAAAATACTGCATTTCCTTCTAGAGGAGCCCAGCAAATAAAACAGGGCATTGTAGAAGCTAGATAAGCAAAAGGACCTTTCCCCAGAGAGTTGTCTTCATCCCAGATTTTTACCCAGCTAAACTTTTTCAACATCTATTAACATATTTCACAGTTTTTAAGCTGCGAGTCTCAAATTTCCTTTGCTGTTCACAATCTTATTTATAATAGGATTATCACATTTTTCTTAGCCTTCATTATGATTTTGGAGCCAAAGTTCACTCCAGCTGAAGGGCAAATCTTTCAGTGACGGGTACTGTAGAACAGAATAATCTTAAGGCAAAAACACTGATTTCTGCCAACTGCTGTAATTACTTGAAATGATGCATTTAAAATGACATCCACCCCCAGAAGGCAGGGAAGGGGAAAAAAAAGAGAGATCTTTTATTACTATATTGTCATTTTCTCCATATTGTAAACTATTTGTAAAAGAAATTGTCTTCCTTTCGAATGCTGAGTCGCATGTACATTAATGCATTAATACAATCAGCCAGCCAATCCATCTCATAGCATACCCATTCCTTTTTATACAAAGTTAAAAAAAACAAGCCATCGTTTTCATCTATTTGTTTTGCATTTCGTTCCTTAACATTTCATTTCTCCTTATAAGATATAAGCCTTACCTCCACATCGTACAAGAACCGGAAATGGCTTGGGGCCTGTGATGCCCTTTGCACGGCTTCTGCTAATGCCACCGCTCCTTTACCTCCATCAGCCCAGTGGGTGCATTTGACAGCATCAAAAGCACCAGCTTCCTTAGCCAACCGGATGACCAGCTGTAGTTCTGCCTCTGTATCTGATCTGCAAAGGCAAACATTACCAGGATTTCTATTAGAGTGCCAATATACCAAGGCTTAACCTTTCAAACATTTCATTGGCCACAATTAATATACTGGATGTCAGCATTCCAGGGAAAATCCATTCCTGTCAGTAACTCCAAGACACTCATCATCTCAAAGTACTTTTATTAGAATACCACCTGGCACATTCTGTGGAATTCCGAAACTAAAAATTTTCCCAGGTTCCCCAAAAGGTCCCAACCTACAAACCATCCCCTTTCCCCTCATCATCACATCACATGAACCAATCCCAAGTAGATTCCAATTCTTTCTGCGCCACTCTCTTTAACCTTGAACTATCAAAAGAAATATATTTTGTCTACTAAGAGCTACTCAATTAACATCACCTCCCTCCCACTTTCTCCAGCTATACGGCAGCGATGAATTCCATAGCTGACACTGGAAATGACCTGCCGCCTATGCTGTACAAAACATCTTTCCAGTTTCAGCATCACTGAACTTCAGAAGCATGCAAGGACTACTGCCAACCATGGTTAGTTTGGAATTGTGATGGTTATGGTTAAAGCTAACCATAGCTGTTTCATCATTAACATTCAGTTGGACTGTCACTGTTGTCCTTTAAGAAGTCGCTGGTTGTTCTCAGGCACTGAGCCAAAAAGATAGACGAGGTGGCTATACAGCAATAGTGTACTTCTCTAGAGAACCATGGAAATAATGTTGCAGAAACCATTAAAGCAAGTAACAGATCCAGAAGTAGCATATGTTAAGCAGGAAAGTACAACACAAGAGAGAGACTCACACTTAGTAAAATTGGAGGGGGGGAAGAAGCTACAGATAAACTTGTAAGATTTTGTTATTGGAGCCTATTGTGATAAAAGTGTAGTCTTTTTGTTATAATTTCCTGATTTGGTTTACCTCATTCATTTGGTCCAAAGAGCAACATATTTTATTTTATTGTACTGTATTGTATTTATGATTATTTATTTATTATCTATGATATCTCACTTGCTGTTTGTATATACACTGAGAACTTGTGCGTCTGAGACAAATTCCTTCTGTGTCCAATCATATCTATTTCTATTTCATTCCATCCCACCCTATTTTTTTTTGTATTGGGTATTTTTAACCCTTGCTACTAGTGTTGAACTGCCTATCAAGCAGGTGGTTATATTAACTGATTAAACAAATGCATTCAAAATAAAAGAGAAGAATTTGACAAGGGAAAAACACCTATGCAGAATGTTTAATCTTGGTGAAGATCATAGTGAAAGAAAAACACCAACCTCTTTGACAATTAAATACTCAACATTATAACTGAACACATTTCAGACTGAGTATAAAAGCTATATGGGAAGGGTAGAAAGAAAGCAAAACATGGCTAGGAGTCCTGCTGTATTTTTCAGGCCTGTAAAATGCCCCAAACTCTTCAAGCTGGGATGGGGAAACATAGGAACTATTTCCTGTAGGAGAAAAGGGCTGTTTAAGCTTCTTTAGCTGAGGCGATATTCCAGATTTGTCCTTAAGGGAAGGAAAAACCAGTGAATAAACTGATATTCTCTTTTGTTGCAGAATGACACATGCAATTACTTGCCTGCTTCTCCCTTCTCTACACAAAGGAGTCACCACCACAAGGAGGTGCAAAAGTGTGTTGGGTATGCTGGGCCTGAGGACTTGAATCTAGAAGGGCGGGATTTCTGTAGCAAATACCATAGAAGCAATTCAGCTACACTGAACAGAAGATGAATAACATGAAATATTCCTTAATGGATGTAAGAGAAGCTGGGGAAGGCTTAATTTTTATTCTATTATTGCTTGCTGCAAATCAGTAAGCATTTCATCTTCATGCCATTCTGAGATCACCTCTCTCAAATCATCTAGCAAGCATGAAAAAGCCTTGCCTGCTAAGCCAAGGTTTATTTTTTCCAAGGTTGAGATGGAGATGGAGACATAACACAATAGAGTCATTGCAGCAAATCTCGTTACTGAAATCTGTGCAGTTTATTTACTTTTTTTAAAAAAATGTATGATCTCTGGCTAGCTTACAACAATAGTAAAAACCCTGAACCATTAAATGTGAATATTACATTTGTATACAAATAACACAAAAACATATGCAAGAAGGACCAACAGATGGCTTAGGAGGGAGGTAGAAGATATATTCTATTTACCCCTGCAAGTAACCTTACATGCGAATATTTACCACATTTCAAATCACCACCCACTCAGCTACCTGCATGTGTGAACCAGGGTTCTGAAAATCTAATCTGAGGGAAACACTTCCGTAATGAGGCAACTTGGCTCAACAGACCTTAGAAAAGATTATAGTGTTTCCCAAAATGAACATATGTTAATATTTTATCTGCATTCATTTTTAAAAATGAGGACACGTTGACTGTTAGAGTGATAACAGTCCATCTCTTCTATCTTAGATTTTACTACCCTGTTTTTCTGCATTGTTCAAGTACCAAGAACATCTCTACAAGCTGCCAGTGAATTGTACTTTTAATGTGAACAAAGGAGAAAATTACTAAATGAAGAATAATTATGTCAAATCTATTTGTTGTGATTTACATTTAAGTCAAATTTCAATTAAATCAAATTTAATGTTCTAGCTTCATCTAATAATTTATGTGTTGAACCCTTTCTTGTTGAGTACATTTTAAAGAACATAGGTAGATGGCCCAATATAGATCCACCCTTTGTTGTACTATGGACTTCACTGAACTATGGGCTTCGTTGCACTTACTTGAATGCATTGACTGCCACCACTACTGGGACACCAAAAATTCTGGCATTTTCGATTTGCTTGCGCAGGTTACTGCAACCTTTTCCCAGAAGTGGAATATTCTATACATGACAAAGAGAATTCAAGGGATTAGTTCAGAAAAGAAATAAATGGTCAATCAACTGTTGAATGTTAAAGAAAGCTGGAATGAAAATGAAGTGTGTGTGTGCGTGTGTGTGTGTGTGAGAGAGAGAGAGACAATCTACATTATTTTACAAACTTCTCTTTTCAATTCACAATAAAAAAAGGAAAAAAGACAGACTGAACAGAAATGAACAGGCTAAGTTGGATCAATTCTAATGAAAGACTATTCGCATTCAACTGCAAAGTAGCTTCATTTAAGAAACTACAAAAAAGAAAGAAAGCATTCTTTTAAGAAGCAGAATGGCACAAAGAGGGGGGAAAGGTGAAGACCGTTCTCCATTTTCAGCTGGAAGGCACCACATTATCCAACTCTCTGTTGAAGAGACTTTGCTTTTGCAGGATGGAGATTTAACAAAGACTGCTCCATGGATTGTTGAACATCCTTCTTCAAAATAGCTAGAAGCATCTTCAGATGAGTACTGCTGATGTAATAATGTTTAAAATCACATAACAATTGCCCTTGATCAAATGTACAAGCCTTTAGCAGTTTGAAGATTCTTCTAATATACATTTTATAAACAGATGTGGTAGAAGGATGGTTTTGCAAATATAGAACCATATGGACAGCACAGTGAATGCCCTCAGTGTAAACAAGATTTAGCTGTTTTCCAGTCCCCATATGTCCTCATCTTATTTTTTCTGACTTACTATTTTTTATCCTTTTCTGCCCTTTAATAATGACTTAGTTTCCTATGAAGAGAAACATCATAACAAGTACATTTGGATGTAATCCTTAGGTTATTTGCATTTATATCGGGAGCCTCGGTGGCACAGTGTTTAGAGTGCAGTACTGCAAGCTACTTCTGCTGACTGCCGGCTGACTGTAATTTGGCAGTTCGAATCCCACCAGGCTCAAGGTTGACTCAGCCTTCCATCCTTCCAAGGTGGGTAAAATGAGGACCCAAACTGTTGGAGGCAATATGCTGACTCTGTAAATTGCTTAGAGAGGACCATAAAGCACTATAAAGTGTTATATAAGTCTAAGTGCTATTGCTATTGCTATATAGCAAAATAGCAGAAAACTGTGCCTCCAAGAAATCAGTGGGGCAAACTCAGGGGGTTTTGGGGGCAGCAAGAAGCTAGAAGCAGGATCCATGCAGCCTGTTTCATGAGCTCCTTATAGTGCTTTGTAGAATATCCACTTATATGTGGACTGCTATTTTAAACTCCCGTTCTCCACAGTCACTAAGTGTTTATATAAATGGTCCTTGACTTACAATAGCTTATTTAGTGACTGTTCAAAGTTACAACAGCACTGAAAGGAGTGACCGTTTTTCACACATATGACTGCTGTAGTAGCACCATGTCATCACATGGTCAAAATTCGGACACTTGGCAACTGACCCATATTTATGATGGTTGCAATGTCCCAGGGTTATGGGATCCCTTTTTGCAACCTTCTGACAAGCAAAGGCAAGGGGGAAGCCAGATTCACTTAACAACTATGCTAGTAACTTAACAACTGCAGTGATTCACTTAACAACTGTGGCAGGAAAGGTCATAAAATGGGGCAAAATTCCCTGAACAGATGTCTCACATAGCAACAGAAATATTTGACTCAATTGTGTTCATAAGTCAAGGACTACTTGTAGATACTAATTAAGAAATTCTATTTTGACAACAGTGGAGACTCCAGTCCAACTAATCTGGCAGGCGTCTACTTGAACAGGTTCATTCCTTATTGTGATACCAATCGGGCAAAGCTTGCAATTAAGGCCTTCTTTACTGAAGTGTTCTCTACCAAACTCCATCTCCATTTTCTTAGCGTCTTGCGAAAGAATAAAGTGGAACAATGACTGATGACCTCCTTTTACTGGTCTACGATAGAAAGCATCCTCACGTATTGCATTACAGTGTGCTATGCTGGCTTGACAGCCACGGACAGAAAGATATTACAGAAGGTGGTGAGCACAGCACAAAACATCGTGGGTTGTTCCCTGATACCACTAGATGACTTTGCTAGGGCTCGCTGCCTTAGAAGAGTGAGGAAAATTCTTAGGGGCGACTCACATCCCGGTCAGCACTTCTTCACTCTCCTAACATCGGGTAGGAGATAGAAAAGCATAGCCAGCCGCACCAATAGGCTGAAGAACAGTTTTTATCCGTCAGCTGTGAGACTCTGAACAGAAAATAACTTCATGTCAACATAGTATGATAGACTTGCAGGGCTGGCGCGTTTTGCAACAAAGTCACATAGTGTAATAAGATTGGGACTGGATTTGGGACTTCTGTCCTCACTGTGAGTTGTGTTGGGGTGGGGTGTACAAAGGGAGGCTCAGCCAATCTCATTGCATACATAACAATAAAGGTAATAATCTGAACTTGCCAAAGCCTCCTTACATTTTTGATGCTACCACTGGCAAAATTGTTTTACCCATTTTTTTTAAAAAAAGCTTAGTTTGTGTCGTCTTTTTCCCTGCTCAAAATTTTATCTGTAGAGAGATAAAGCTTTAGCCTTGGTTTCAGCCTGCTGTTTTAAATTAATTCCTCTCCAAATACTTTAAGTGCACAAATACAGCAGGAAAGGGGTTACAAAAGGAATAGATATTAACATGAAAAATAAAGCCCTTGAACTGCTAGGTGGAAGGAAAGTAGACTTAAATGCTGACCAAATCATTTATTTCATAAATGAAGCCAATGCAAATAATCAGTTCAATTCAGGAAGGAAACCTAGATAGCCAAAAAGGCCACGTGTGCCTATCAATCTGGAATACTGACAGTGCTCCATAGGTTATAGTGGCATGAGTTTTCATAGATAACCTGATTCCAGTTTCAAGAGAATAGGAAGAAACAGGTTGTCAAAGTTACAACCATCTCCTGTGAAAACTTTTTGCTGCTGAATGTTGCCAGCATAATTGAGGGATGATCTGAAAACTACAAAATAGAGAATTCTGAACCATAATTTCAATCAGTAAACCATAGCTTATTGAATCAATAAGTTGTTCAACTTTTTATACCACCCACAACTGCACATCTCTAGATGCTTTACAAATCAAAACAGTACGTTAAAAAAAACCAAAATAATTAAAGTAAATAATTGCCCGCAATTGATCAAATGGGAAGTAAAATATAGATGCTAATTTCCAAAGGCCAGTTAGAAAAACCATGCTTGTTGTATGAGTTCTGTGCTTGCACACTTAATTAATTTCCCATGATATGATAGATCCAAAGTCACTCATCTGGCTTTATGCCTAACGTGGGACTAGAACTCATGGTCTCCTGGTTTCTAGCCTGATGCTCTAACTACTACACCAAACTGAATCGTGTGTGTGTGTGTGTGTGTGTGTGTGTGTGTGTGAGAGAGAGAGAGCGAGAGAGCGAGAGAGAGAGAGAGAGAGAGAGAGAGATGGGGGGAAGGAGGGAACAATAGCAGTATTGAGATTGCTTTGTTTTATTTTTTTGGCAAGGAACTATGAAATTCAAAAAATAAAATATACATTCAAAACAAAATCAAAAGCACAATTATTACCTCCACAATGTATTCTTTGGGCAAAGGGACTCCAGCCATAACCTGAAAAGAATAAGAACAAGACAATCAAGGAACAAAAATATATTCTCCTGGTATCTCAATTTTATATTTTTGTATTCCAAACTGATATTGATTAGTAGATTTCTTCATGAATGGAGTTTGGGAAGGAATTATGAAATTCTTCTAGAGTGCATACCTATAATTCTAATAGAATATTTTCCCCATCTGATTTATATGTATTCATATTACCATTGTTTCTTATTTGAATTTATATGAGAATTTAGAATGTATCTTTTCAATTCAATATATGGCCAAGAAAAAGTGTTTGGATGCAGCAAAATCCTCTCTCCTCAAATTAAAAATCATCAGAGTGTTAATAGTTAGCATAAGAATACAATTAACTAACTCTCATCTTAGGCCTAGGGCCATCTGGTTTCCCTCTTCCTAAAAATGGAATGTCATATCCACCTCTGATAAGGAGAAACATATTTCACAATTAAAGCAAATTACCACTCTCAATCACTATAGATAAAGCCAACAGAAACACTCCTAACAGTATTTCCACAGTGGGCCAATGTGACAAGGCAAAGTATTCTCCAATCCATTCATATATTGTGGAGCAGAAATTCATCTTCCCAGATTCCCTGCTTGGTGGAAGAAACAGACTGTTTGTCTTTTGCTTCTCTAATGAATTTGAGGTAAATTCTCTACATCCTGAATACATCCAGCTTGAACCAGATCTCTTCCCTGGGCCGATCTGGGATTAGGAAATAGTTGAGAAATTATGCTCAATGAAATGACTATAAGTATGAAGCAGGGAGCTAGTCTTAGAACCATCTTGATTTGATAGAAAATACATAGATCATTTTTGAGATCAATCCTAGTTCCCAAACATCATATAAAAAGCAAAGTTTATTAAAAGGCTGTTTTCAAGATAAGAATAGTAATGGAAATTTGTCTAATGGGCTTGAAGGTGTTAGTTCTTAAAGTCCTAAGTGCTAATGACAACTCCCATGCAGGGAAACAGTGAATTGCTAGATCTGAGAGGAAGTTTTCCAAAGGAAATAGTGCCACTTGTCTATTCAGTCAAATGGAAACTAAGGAAGCTGCCTGTTTATCTGTCATATTTACTGCTAGCCCTCACTTCAGTCTTGCTTGTTGGAAGTCCGAGAGTGTCACATCTGTTTCCTTCAAACTGACTGATATATCTTAATGGGGCAGGTCTCTACTGCCAAATCTGGAATATCCATATTCAGGAATTGTCCAGTTCAATTTCTAGACCCATACTGATAGCAACTTTGGATTTGTATGTACTGGACTTCAAGACAGGAGGATCAAGTGTTTTGGGAACTGGGTGTCGTCTTCTTATATCACTTCGACAGCAGAACACCAACTGTTCAGTGCCCCTCTTGGTATATCCTACTGACATAAACAGAAGGCTACAGTCTCTGAAGGCTACTCAGTCTGTTCTAATAATTTAAATGGATTTTGTTGTAATATCATCTTTTTAAAGAATTTGGTGGGCTCTCTTGTAGGAGATGAACAGACTGAGTTGAAGGGTGGGGTTAAATGTGTCATTAGTTTGGAATAGCCACAAGACACACAAGTCCAGCCCCCTGTGAATTCTGCTGACCCTCATATAGCACCAATTGGATGTTAGTTGCTCAGATTCTTGAGTATAGGTGGCAGAATAAACTCTTCATGCTTTGAACTCAAATCCTATTCCTAGTTATTTGTGTATGACACCCTACTCTTTTAGCCTGGTCTCTGTGGCCATCTGGTCTTTGAAACTGATTGCTAATTTGCCACATAGAAGAGACAGAAATCTTTTCCTGTGGGCTTCATTTCTAGCAACTGAGAATAAAGAGCAAAGCAAAACAACAGCTGCAGCTTTACTATTATTTATAGGAATGTATTTGGTTTGCAAAAGGTCCCACTGGGACAGTAGAAAGCATCCTAGGAGGTTAATTTGCTTTGGTAAGTGGGTGTTTTGTGATTGTGGCAGCCATTTTGTGAATAGGCAAATCTCCCATGGCAACCATTTTCTAAACGAATCTACCAAAGGACCTCAAAATTTAGCATTCATTTTTCACTTTTCAAGAGGGGCACTGTAATGAAAATGCTATGGGCTAGAAAAAACATGTCACTTTCTGCTTCCCTTAAAAGCAGTATGTAGTACGGTATCTTCTGCACTGGGAATCATGATATAGAAAAGTTATTCTGGTCAAATTTTTAAAATGCGTATTTCATCCAACCATCGCTAGTATTAAGTACAGGCTTTCTTTTATGCACAAAACATGCCACACTGGAAAAGCAGTACATAATTCTGAAGTTCTAGAGAAGAACTTGAATGCATCTCCTTGAATAGGTGGAGGAACCACAAGACATTATGACTCCTTTCTATTTCTGTACATTATTCTAGATAGCTTTTTGGGGGCCCCAAATGCAATTTACTCCAGGTGTTAGGCTATAGAAATTATTCCTACATATAAAAGCATACACATGTACATAGTCTTCCCCATCACAGCAATGGAAGACCATGGTTGTATCCTCTTTCATATCATGATATTATGCTTCCCCTGTTTAATCTGCCTGTCTGGCAGGCTCCAGGAATATAAAGAAGATGGAAAAAATGAGGATCAAAATATGCAGTACAAGTGCAATTTGCCATTATCAGAATGCACTGGTGAAAGCTACTTTTTAATTTTACACTACACACACACACACACACACACACATACACAAAGACAAATAACCAGTGAAAAGAAAAGGGGTGAAAATATGGGGTTTAAGAAATTACTGAGATGATCTGGGAGCACCATCAAGCAATAATCATTACTTCTGATCTTTCAAAATAACTGAAGTTCTCTGGGGTGAAGACAGCACTATTAAACCATTAGACATTTCTAAAACCACTACAAAAAGATAACCAATAGGACAATCACATAGCACAGAAAAATATACAATTAAATATTCCAGTGTAGAACTGGGCTTAAATTCCAACTAAATACAGAATTATAACAATATCCAGAGAAGACGATTTCCCCCCAGCACAAATCCAGGAACCAGAAGTGTCTCATTGGAGAAGGCATTTTAAAGGAGATCCCTAAAACTGAGTTATTTTTCCCACTCCAGCCACTTCATTTGGCAGGATACTTGGCTTGCCTCCAAAAGGCCTCTGAAGATGACTGCAAGGCCCATTTAGGTTATCAAGTAATAAGACAAGGTGCCAAGAAATTGGGCAGTTATTATCTTCATCTACCAAAGAAATGACCAGGAATAAGTCTTTCAAGGTTGCTGATGGCAAATCTAGACAATAGAATTTGATTGTATTAGTTAAGCCCAGCATCGATCATGGCTTACCAAATTCTCTAAGACGAGAATCAGCACTTACCGTGGGTCCTCCACCATGCATTTTCAGAGCTCGGATGGTGGCAACCAAGACTACCACATGAGGCTGCAAACCAGAATACCGACACTTGATGTCAAAGAATTTTTCCATGCCAATATCAGCTCCGAAGCCAGCTTCAGTCACTGCATGCAGAACAATGAAAGTCATTATTATGTACAATCTTCTTTCTTTCTTTCTTTCTTTCTTTCTTTCTTTCTTTCTTTCTTTCTTTCTTTCTTTCTTTCTTTCTTTCTTTCTTTCTTTTTCTTTTTTGCATAGCATTATTCTAAAAAAATTGTTCCCTGAAAACTTGGGGGATTTGTATTATTATAACCCCACTGGAATTGAAAAATTAAATTACATTTTGGAGTTGCTTAAATGATTAAGATGACATGACTGGAGGTTTACAATTTAAAAACAAACAAAGAGCAGCAGCAGATTAGCAAAACACTCAGAGAACCAAAGAAAGTCAAGGAAGAGGAATGTCTCTCCTTCCTCTTCCTCCTCCTCATTGCACAGCTCTAAGCAACAATCTATGCAAGCTAGGAGAGAGAACAGCTAAGGAAACAGCAATTCTAACAAATAAATTTTCATCTCTGCAGATCTCCTGTCATAGGCATCTCATGACTATAACTTCCTTTTGTCTGAATTGTGGGTACCGCTAGAGTGAATATAGCAAGAATCCTTTCAAGATGGTAACTGAACAAATACCATGCTAAGTAATAATTGTGCAAAACATGTCAATAATTAGATGAGACTTTCTCTAGACTAAGGAATCCCCTCTCCCCCCAAAAAAGCTGGCGTTTCAGAAAAAAAAGATAGCACAGACTTCATGACATTTTATTTCTCTCAGGAAATCTTTGGTTAACCTATAATTAACTTATGAGTGTTCTTTTACTTTTCTTCACAGTACCTATTGTAATTCATCTAATTTATTTAGCTGAGAAAATCAATGTTTCTTTCTAACTCTCTAATTCAGTTACTTTGCACATTCAATCCCATTTCTTTCTTTAAAAATAGGCAGTAAGGATATCAAAAGAGCCTGGCTGGTGGATTAAGTAACATCTTCTCTCTTAGTGGTCAGTTTTTACAGAGTCCACCAACAAGACAAAACAGGAGTAGCAATTTCCTGATGTGCCTCATAGACATGGGACTTCTGAACGTGGAGAACTCTACAACCCTTATGACTAATGGCTCTTGAGAGTGGTTTTTGATGCATTTGATGCCTTCCCAATGTTTAAAAACACTTAAACCAATAGTCTTCACTACATCTTATACCATGTATTTTATAAAAAAACCATGCCTGACGATGAAAAGAGACTTACCAACAAACCCATCCTTGCCAACAATTTTCAGGGCAATCTTGTCTGCCAGGACCGATGAGTTCCCATGAGCGATGTTAGCAAATGGACCAGCATGGACAAACACTGGATTACCCTGACAGATATGAATAGAAACAGAGGGAAGAAAAAGGAGGGCGGGAGAGAGGGAGGGGGGGAAGGAAGGAAGGAAGGAAAGAAAATTAGGATCTTGTCATCTAAACCACACCAAACCAACTTCCAGTATTTAGGACATATTCCTGCACTCAGTAAAAGTTACTCGTATAGATAAGCATACATAGGACTGAAAAATTTTACAGCCTCTGGAAGACAAAAAAAAAAGCATCACTAGGAAAGTAATCTAACATCATGAGTAGTATAAGTGGACATTGTAGCAAAATACAGTACATTCAGTCTAGTGGAATCTGCTCCAACTTTTCTGGTCAAACTCAAACAAGCATGGGGGAAGGAGTCTTCAGGAACTCTCCAAAAGCCATCTACTTTGCAAGTATAAACATTTATATGGTCTTCCTTTTTTTAAAAAAAGAGAATTTTGCCTTTAGCTAAAACTCTGCAGGGCAAATCAGAACATATCATACAAAAAGTAATCACCCTATATACATCATAACACCCAATCATATGTACCAACACTGGAAAGGAATAAGCAGGTCTTGCTCGCTCAGTTTCTTTTTAACACATGTGTCACTCATCCAAAATATTAAAAAGTGGACAGGAAGAAACACAGAGGAGGGAGGGTAGGACAGAAGAAACAATAATACTATTTTTGTGATGGAAAAGGGATGAAATGTGGTGTTAGGGTTGTGCCATAATGTTAGAGGAGTGGGTGAGAGAACAAGGGCAAATGCTTTATGAGTAGAAATTCATTGACAAGCAAAAGATGTTGGTGCATGCATGTACGATTTTGGTTTATTGGTGCAAGAGATAGAAGACACTGATACCCGAAATTAGAAGGAGATGCAAAAAGCTGCAGAAAGTCTAATAAAAGTGGGAAAAATCCCTGACTGCACTGCCATGGAAAACAAGTAGTCTGTTTGGCATACAAAGACAACAACTTTGTGAAAGAACTTGTAAGTCAGGAAAAAAAAACCCAAAGCTGTGCAAGAAAATGGCCTGTGAATTTTGTAGGCTTGAGGAAAAAAAGGCTCATTTTATGTATTAGCCCCTCAAATAAATGCTTCCCAATGTAGCTTGCACAAAAGAAAGAAAACAGCTAAAAGATGGTGAATAAGCAGAATGGCGTAATTATGAGAGAAGCTAATAAAGGAACATAAAAACCATGCTGCAGGGCAAGAGTAACACCAATCCTAGTTCACGCTTTTGTTTCTCAAAAAGGCAAAACAAATGTCTCAGGTGCGCTGAGAAGTAGAAGATGCAGGAAAGTTTTTCATCTCATTTCTCCTCTGCAATTGGTATTTGGAGGCACACAAGCCCCAATCCAGAGATAACACTAAACTTCAAGACAAACAAGCTTTGGAAAGCTCACCCTCCATAAATTTATCTAATCCTTTTTAAAGCCAGTCAAGTAATCGGTGATAATGAATTCCACAGAGGATGGCAATGTAGGAGGGATAGAGAAGAAACAGGACTGAGCAGCCAATTGTATGAGATATGGAAGATTTTGTTAGAAAGAAATCCCCCCAAAATATTGGCCGATACATAGACCTCTTTTACTCTTAAATTACAAAGAAAACTCCAAAAGGAAGGCCACAAGACACAAATCATCATCACCTATGGTACACAGAATTCCAGAAGTTGATAAAGCTGGCATTATAAATAAACCAATGATTTAATCCAAAATTCTAACAAGCATTACAATAAATTCTCAAAAGTTCTCAAATCTCAAGAGAACACTGCATCTTATAAACTCTTCATGTCTCAAAAACCTACAAGATGCTCACATCTGAAATTTGGAGGAAGAATTATATGAAATGTCGCAATCTTACCAGGTTTTTTTTAAAAAAAATTAAATGCATTTTTGTAAAAAAGCTAAAAGCCTATTTAATTTCCAAATGAATTATTCAACTTTATTTTACATTTACTTTTGGGAACCTATGGATAGAGCTGGGGATGTTTTATGTGTCATACTTCCTACAGATATCATATTGCTGTCCTCTCTTTTATGTGATAATCAGCAGAAACATCTAATGACAATGGTGATGGTGCAATAATCCATGTAAACCACTGGACTCTACTGTATTTTAATGTATGCCCCTATTTTCAATTTTAAAAAAAGCACCTGCGCAAACTATACTTACTTCCAAAGTCTGCATGAGATTGGGCTTAATAGCATCTTTCATCAAAACTGCCAGGGCACCACTCACTCCCTAAGGAAATAAGTAGGAAAAATTATTTAAGTAGCAGTTCTTGCACATTTTTTAGGTTTATGGCATTTCAAGCTAATAAACCTACTCTTTATAATCATGACAAACCATTTTCTCAATTTTTTGTATAAAAGTAGGTCATGAAAGGCAAATTCAGCTGGCTATGCTTAAGCTTTACTTAGAATCCAGTTTGCTCCATGCTTTCAAAATTTACTACCAGAAATTTGGAGGAAGGTAAATTTTAGTGTCTCAATTTTCAAGATCAATATTTAAAATTATTTACTAGATACACATTTAGAAATCTTGAATCGGACAAGGACCATTGAACCTAGCTTTGCAGGCATCCCAGCAATCAACATACACTGCTTGATATGACTGAAGCTGGCTACTTGTCATAGTTAAAGCACATATAATTTCAGAAATGAATGAATTGATTCTTCCAGAGTTGCGTTTTCTTCCAAACAGAATCATATTCAGTTACCAGATCTTCTGTGGTGATTGGAACTCCTTTTTTGCTGGAGGCGACCACCATTTTGCCCAGGCGTTCTCTCATATCCTCCAGGCTGTTTGTGAGTGCTAAAACTGCCATGATCTCACTAGCTACTGTAATGTCAAACTGGGCCTGCAAGGAAGGCAAAAAGCAAACAAGGTCAAAAATAGACATAACTGAACATAGCTGGAGTATTGGATTTAAAAAGACATAGACAGGACATAACACCTATAATTATGGAATCACAATCATCTAGAAACAGAATCAGTTCTAAGCATCTGTGGTAGCCTTTTCCAAATTCGGTGCTATCTGGCTGTTCAGAAGTACACTTCCTGGATCTTCTAATTAACAGTCACTGATCATCTGAAAAGCACCAGGGGGATGGCAGCCTTTTGAGCAATGACAGTTTAGGGCATTTTAAGAATGGTGTCATTCTGTACATGAAAGAGGGCTAAAACTCAAAGAGAAAATCTCAAATATGCCAAGTTTTTTCACACAAGCGCTATCATTGGTAGTAGAAGCCCTAAAATGAAGGCAATATGGGGATGGGTACATCTGGAACACAGAGAAAGATGCACAAGCCCTTAGCTCAAAATCAGTCCTCGGCGGGGATAAAAATGCCTGCTATTCTAAAAGAATCTGAGTGAAAGAGAAAGGACACTTACTGTGCGTGTGTATCCCTTCTCAGATGGAGACTGCCCAATTGTAATGGTTCGCAGAAACCTGTCATTTGTATCCAGTACTACATAAAAGAAGGTGGGAAGACAAAAGGGTGACACATGGAACTTAGCAACTTCTTTATACATGTACTTTTTAAACTATTAATACAATCAAAGTTATCTCATTAGAATAAAGGCTATGAGAAATAAATTGCTAACATGGCAACCCACACTTTTTTTAAAAAAATTACCTCTTTATTATATTGATGTCTGGCCAATTCTTCAAGGGTTTAGGGTGACTTCCCTTGACATTTCCCTTGATTTTAACCCCCAAGTAGCAACTTGTGAAGTTGGTTGGGCTAAGGAAGAGTCACTCGGTGAACTTCCATGACTGAGGGTAGACTTAAACTTAGACTTCCAATCATAGGCCAACACTTTGAGCAACAAACCACACTATTGTTCATATTTTAAATATATATATGGTTTTATAGACTGTTATTTCAAGTCACCCAGATACAGAAGAAAATCTCAAAATAAGGCATTGGGAAACAGAATTTGCATAATATAAGTCAATCTTCACCAGCCTATACCCTTCATGTATGCTGAACTTTAAAAGCCAACATCTCCTAATATCCAGGAGTGATGAAAACTGAAGTTCAGAATGCACAATTGCAGAAGGATGATCTATACTTTTCAATGGTATTTTCAGTACCATTGAAAGATGTGTGAAAGATAAACTGGTCAATAGTCTTCTGCAATTTGCCCTTTTCCATTTGCATTGATTGTTTTATTTGACAGCATTGCATAGAAGAAAAAAATACATAGATATTTTTGATTAAGCAATTTTCATACCAAGAAAATAGGCATAAAGTATTGTCTGTGTATAAACTTTATATGGAATACTAGTCATAGAATAAAACAAAACAAAAATATCCAAATTCAGTTTTGAGATTATGTTTCATATCTCATTCACTAGGAAATTGTATGCAATTAAATTCCCCTTAAAATATTGGGAAAAAGTAAGCTAACGTGAGATTGAGAGCAAGTATGGAAAAAACTATAATCTGTTCTCAGCATGATGCTAATTAATAGGTCCAATTTTGAAAAAGTTTCATTGAACTGAAGAATGTCATGCACTTTTTGATGGATGTATTGACACTATAAGGATTAAATTATTACCGGGCATCTTTGCATTGTTAACAACTACAGAGAACTGAACTACAGAGAACCTTCTTCACAGACTATTCCTAGCATTCCTCCAAATGCTTTGGAATAATAGCATTCTGTTATTCTGCTATTTGTTAAGGAAGCTCAACCTTTTCAATATCCCAGAACTTGAAAGAAGGTGCCACTGCTTTGGAATCACACTAGGTTTAATGAGTAAATTCATTAATGTAATGTTTCTCAACCATGACATCTTTAAGATGTATGGACTTCAACTCCCAGAATTCTCCAGTCAACCATGAAAACCTACCATAAAGCATCACCATCATATTACCACCATCATCATTATTTTTTCATGCTCACAGAACCAAACCAAATGAAATCAAACCACCACACCACCTTGGGCTTCCTTAATGAATAGAAGACAAATATTTCACTCCCATAAGTGCAAAGCTCTACTAATTAAAACCAAGCTAATAAGAGTTTAATTACAAAATTCATCAAGAGCTATAAATTTGGCATCAAAACTACACAGGTTAAGATAACTGTCCAGTCTACCTTTCATCTATTTTGTTTCCTGACATTCCAGTCAACTTTTAGCAACAAAATTCACAAAGAACATGATTTTAATTCTCCAATACACTGATCTGTGAAACAACAACCTACACTGACTCAAAAGTGGCATTGCTTACTGTGACCCAACCAGAAGGTAGCATGCTGAAAGTCACCTCAAACTATTCCTCTAGCAATTCCACAGGAATGCAAGACTGGGGAATAAGAGAAGGAGCTCATGTAGAGACCATAGCAACCTCCTCTCCTCTGCTACAGAGGAAGCAAGTAATTGAATCAAATTTGCATAACTCCAATAGAAGAGAATATATATAGTTCAGGATTGAACTGTGGAGTTCTTGGTGCTCTCTGAGCTTGGCTGTTTGCTTGCAGATGTTTTATTTCTCAAGTAGTTAACATCATCTGTGCAGCACTGATGATGTTACCTAGTTACATAATGAAACATCTGCATATAAACACCCCAGTTCATGGAGCACCAAGACCTCTATCTGCATAATTTTCTACACCTTGTAGAATTGTGCAACAATACCAGAATTCTGGTCAGGGAAGGTGAACTTTAGTGAGAATGACTGTCAAAGCTAATTTTACATTCCAAAAAAGAGCTTCATGAAGACTCAGCATGTTCTGAGAACAAAGAGTGCACACAGTTTGAGGATCTGTACAGGAAAACACCAAACAGTACCATTCTGCTGTAATGTTCAAATTATGAGAAAGTCTATAAATGAATTATTTGGATTAATAAGTTAAGGAATTGATTTATTATGAATATTTTAATTTTTTAATTTATCTGATAATGAAAGCTGTCCAAGCAGTTACATATATAAGTAAAAATAAAATAACTAATTCCCTTAGTTATATGCCTTGAGAAGATAGTTGTCAAAAGAAAAAGGGAGAATCATTTTGACCACAAATCCAAATGGCCAACACATAATTCATACCAAGTGAAAATTTAGGGAATTACTCTAACAACAGAATAGATCAAACAATGAACTCATAAGAGGAGGATAACAAAATGAAGGAAAAGAGGCAACTAACTGCATAACTTCTGTTTCTATGCTGGAATATTCAGCACAGTCTTAGGCTTCTTTCAAAAGCAAATTCTAACTGCATTACGTTAAATGCAAATCTTCCCACTAATGCATAAAAAAAAAAACAGAATTTCCTGCCCGAAAGAGATAAATGACACTGACAGATCACCTATGGGGTAAGAAACAATGACTGAAGTCTTCTACCCTGAAGAAAGAAATCCCTTCTGCTGGCAATCCAGTTGCAAAAGCTCTTTCCAGGGTGAACACAGCACCTGCCTCTTAATTATTAAAATTGTCCAAAACTAAATGTATCTTTAAAATTAAGAGTGAAGGACTCAGCAGGTATTTTATACTTTGTTTAGATTTTAATCTCCATCCCCATAGACAGAATCATATTTCTTCCAAACAGCTTTTCTCCTTTTCTTCTGGAGGTTACTTGTGCTGCAATACCTCGTTGCCATGTTATGCTATCTGGATCGATATCCAATCTCACAAATTTGCTTATTTCATCATTTGTCAAAGTTGCTGGGTCCATTTTCATAATATGTAATCTCTGAGGAAGAAAATTAGTGAGAGAGAAAGAGAAAGACATTGACATGTTACAGGAAGCTAGTCTTTAAGCAAAGTAATTAAAAAAAACCTTTTTTTGCAAGTAAACTAAGGGGATGCAGCTGAAATGCAAAAATCTATCTGGAAGTCTTAAAAGTAGAATTCAATAATTGCCTTTAGTTCAATTATTCACTAAGACCAGCAACAATTTTAAGAAAACAGCATTACCATCAAGAGATCAATGAGGAGAATTCTCAATTTTTATTTTGCTCCTTCAGTATCAGCAAAATACATAGGCAGAGAAAACCTACCCTCCCCTAAAATTCTTTTAATGAATGCAGGTGTTTTCCACTGTCTATAACACAGTGCAAAGGTAAAAGAAGAAAAGCTGCAACATTGGAATACCCAAAAAGCTTGGGTATGGCCTGCATAGAACCTTCAAAATTGTTACCAAATTGTAGCTTTTAATGAGCGAAAGGGGGAAAAGAATGAAATAGATGATTGAAATGTAATTGCATTAACTATATTTATTTTAATGAAATGTAAACTAAATTAAATCAGCTTTAGTTTTTATCCTGCCCATCAATTATGTTTTATCAAACTATGCTTGGCATGCCATTTAAAGGCCAAATGCACTCTTAGTTTAGGAAAGGATGTGTATCTCTGGGTAAAGCATCGGGAAAAGGTTATGGTTGTATCTATAAATCTATCACATCTGATTTAGATCATGCCATATTCAAGCCCAGAGGCATTGCCCATCATACTAGGTGGGTACTGGTAGCAATCTTGGGCCACTTATGTTGGGCAACTGGAATGGGGAAGTCATTATTATCAATTTCTGACAAAGAACTTAGATGAACGTTATGAGGAGAAATCAGCAACACTGGGAAAAATAGTATTATAGCTTCCCAGGCAATATGACTAAAACTGAAATAAACTCTTGGAAATACCTAATGGATAAAATGAGGTCATCCTTGTAAAACTTGATTTTGTATGAAATCAATGTTACTGTCTGATATGAATTATGATTAACATCACTTTGCCTATGCCTCAAACTTTGGGAAGACCTTGTTCTGCATCAAAGAAGTCATATTAAACTAGGGCACATTTGTCTGTACGCAAAAACATAAAACTCTGAATAATTTCAACAGAGGCTCTGGTATTCCTTTGAAGGAAAGGAAGTGAAGATATTGCTATGATTATTCAAAAAGTGTCAGGAAGTGATGCATATTCCTTTCTAATTTATTACATTTTTATATTAACTTGCTTATATTTTAAGAGAAAAATAAAGTATTAAAATTGAGTATTTTGTATCCGTGCAGTACGCAGTGTGCAGTGCTCCCAATCCCCTTTTTGATAAAGCTGATAACGATATAACATCAGATTTAAAAAGTCTCACACAGAAAGATACCTGAGTATCTTTCAAAAATTGGTAGGGATCAGGAAGCTAATGGGACAGACTACTTTAATAGGAAGGTAATGGGACAGACTACTGACATTTGCTCTATATATCAAATTCTATGTTTGTGAGCATTGAAGATAGTTTGAGAAATACGAACAGGTTGGGGATTGTAAGAAAGCTTACCTGTAGTCTTCGAATCTGGACATCAGAGAAATTCCTAACACCGTCAACTAAAGGAACCAACCGTGAATAGAGTGCCTTAAAGAACAAAGCATGTAATTAAGGAGATATCGGCACACAATATATCTCAGCTGAACTGACTATTCACAAAGCACACTAGAAGAAAAAGTCATTAATTGCATCAAATTACCTGATCGGACTGTGTAGCTTCATGGAAGATGCGGGCATCAATAGCAGCAGCAACCAAGTTATTGGCAGCAGTAATAGCATGGATGTCACCCGTGAGATGGAGATTAAACTGCAGGGAAAAAGAAAGCACGCAAAATATCCCAACCATTATCTCAAACCTTTGACTAAATGTAATTAAGTCCCCAGATCAAGACTACAAGATTCAGTGCAAGATTCAGCGGCAGAGGGTAGTTCTCTGATATGTGAATGCCTTCTCAGAGAAAAAGAGAGGCCTTCTTCTACGTTTTTTTTTTGTAGAACTTTCTGAAGGGAGAAAAATAAATTTCTCCCCATCCACTGAACGATTTTTCCACCCTAGCATGATATCCAACCTCCAGTTGCTTCTAAGTTACTGAAATGTATTCATTCATTCACTCATTCATTCAATTTCTATAGCTACCCATCTCAATCAATGAATCTGAGCAGCTTACAATTAAAAAGAATATTACAATTAAGACACTAAACATTTTAAAATTATAAAACACAATTAAATTGTTGCCACCAAAACTCATGTCAACCTCTCAAGAAACTGGCAGGGAATTATTGTGTTTGTTATTGAAGACACCTGGAGTTTGATTAGATAAAGCATGAAGAGAATTTGTTATAAATTTAATTGATTATTTCATTCAAAGAGGAAAATATGTTTTCATTTGGATACCACTTCTGGAATTGTGCTTGTGAAGAAAAAAAAATGAAACTTTGACTTTGGTTTTGTTGATTAGAAAGATTTGATGTTATAGGACTGGCTAGTTATATATTAATGTGTAAAAGCAAAAAGTTGAGATTGAAATGTGTTTATCTTGTACTGTGCTAAGGAGTTGGAAGTCAACGCCCCTTTTCTCCCCCCCACTTTCCCCTTGTATCTCACACCTTCCTATTCCCACTCCCTTTCGTTCCCTTAATTTCCTATCATATTCTTCTCTTCTTTGTATTTTATATAATTAAAACATAAAGCATATTTTTGAACAAAAAAAAAGAGAAAATTTGTTATAAACTTGGTTTCTCCACCCTAAACCAGCAGGTATGCCAAGGCTTCTTTTATTGTCATGTCTAGGAGGCATTCACAACAATTTAGCTTTCCCCCCCTCATCAATTTTCCCAGAGTTGTCCTCAAGTTATGGTCAAAGAAGTTTAGAAGATGATTGTTATGGTGTCGTTGAAGCATCTCCCAAAGTACATAAAAATAGGCAGAGAACTTCAATCACACCCTGATGGCTACTATCTTGACCACACCCTGCAGATACTCCCTGAATCTGCCTAATTTTCTAAGTCAGGTGCCTTGTGACAGCCAATACTAAAAGTGTGTTTCAATGTACAAAGGATTACTTTCCCTTTGATTAGCCAGACCAGTTTATCTGACTTGCCATACTTTAAGTGGCAAGTGTTACAAAATGCTAGTGCTTTATAAAGTGAGGATTACTCCAGTTCCTTAACTTGTGGTCCAAATGTTTGGGGGGGAAAAGAACTTGCTTTTATAATTCACAATACATCTAATATAAAAGGCATTTCTCTAATAAGCCCCCAAATTATGCATCTACAGCAAGGTTGATATATGAGAATTTAATTTGTTCCACACGTTTAAACAAACTAATTTAATTTCTAATATCTGAATGCATACAGAAACTGAAACAATTATCCTGATTGCAAATTTCTCTAAATTTTGTAATCAGTTCAAAAATGATGTTCATAGTCGAATGGATTTACGATTAAATGCATGCAGAACTGACAAGGACTGGAAATAATAACTATCCCCAAGCTGAATATCTATGACTATTGGGAATCATACATCAGGATCAAAACATCTAATATAAGGGAAAAGAACTCCCATCACTCTAAATTTTTGAACAAGTACCTGTAGGTCTTGACCTCCTGGAACACACATACAAGAAATAAATACTCCGTGTACTTATAAAGGAATAAATTTGAAATTTACCTCTTCCATAGGAACAACCTGAGAATAGCCACCTCCAGCTGCACCACCTATATAATGGGAAATATGAAAAATAATGCCATGCATCAAATTGTAAATATTAAACAGTTTAACAGCTATTCACTGAAGAAAAAACCCTACTTATTTTAAAATTGATGCATTATCTTTAGCAAGGACCAAAGTCAAGTGATTGTACCTTCTTGCATTCTATTAACAGTAATAAAAATAGGTCAAGTACTTGTCTATAATCTACTTAACATCACTGTGCTAAAACATTACACTTAAATAATGGGTATTATCAGTGGTAGTATGCTGCCGGTTCGCCATTGGTTCTAGCAATCTGGTAGTGCCGGTCAGCTGTAGGCTTTGCCCACCCGCAGCCACCCTTTCCTGTCCTACATTTCCTTTGTTTGTTAGCTCCGCTGATAGGCATAGCAAAACGGATTGTCACACCTCAGCTGTATTACTCTCCAGCGCTGACAGTAAGGTAAGTTTCATGCTTAAAATTGCCCATTTTAGAATGCAGCACCCACCCACCCACAGAACCAGTAGTAAAATATTTTGAATTCCACCACTGGGTATTATTATGATGGAGAAAATTCTACATATGTTTCTGCTTGTGCATTCTAGCCAACCTCTTACAGGTAATCCTCATTTAGCAATCACAATTGGGAATAGTAACTCAGTTGTTAAGTTACTGTTAAGTGAAGTGGTCATTAAGTGAAAAATGACTGCACCTATAATCTTATTTCAGCTTTCCTTTGCTTTACAGACCTGCAAAGGTCTTAAATGTTGCAAAGTTATTTTTTCTATCAGCATAACTGAATAGTTGCTAAAAGAGGCAGTCATTAAATAAGGATTATCAATATTTCTCTCTGAGCCTTCCAAAGTTTATACCACCAGCAGAATAAAAGTAAGCAAACTTTCTGCTTGAAGTTTACAAAAGATTGGAAACACAGGATATCAGAGAGACTAGGGTGCTTCCTTCTGAGTAGAACAACAATTTGATTTTTGTTCATTATACCAATTAACCTCATAGCACAATGCCACATTGCAATGGCTATCCAGGAACACAGGTCAGGTTTTTCTTATAATCTGCTAGCTGCTTCAATGGAGATACCTTGGACTGAATTTGGATCCACTATACATACATTGTGTACAACTGGCAAGCTACAGCTTTGCCTCTTGCATGGAATGTTGCAATCTGTACCTTTAATTCCAAAAGTAGGCCCTTGAGAAGGCTGACGGACACAGGCAAAGGCATTCTGACCAAGGTGCGCACCCAAAGCCTGAACCAGCCCTATAGCTGTAGTACTCTTCCCTTCCCCCAGTGGTGTGGGAGTTATGCTAGATAAAAAGATTTAGAATACTTTTAAAAAACAGATAAAGGCACAATTCACTTAATTACAATACATAGCAATACGTTAAGAGAGAGCAACTTGGCCATCAAAAGGTCTTTTTGTATATGCTTGCTCAGTTTAAAGGGACACAACATTTTCTGTAATAGTATACTCATGAATGTTTAATTAAACATCAGATGGGTGTTCTCCTAAATTTGCCCTTCTCAACATTTTGGGAAAACTTCTATTGATTTATGTTCAGATTGTATTCTGGGGTTGACAAATTGATAATTTTTATATTTGTCTCCTTGGGGCCCAGTTTCACCCTTGGTATATACCAGTGCTATGCTTTGGTGTATTTTAAAACTATGTTAGCTATTTAGGGAATTTTCCTTTGAATGCTAAAGACTTTAATGCTTTTACAGACTTTTCATGGGAACCTGCTATTCTTTCCTCAAGTCAATTAACTCCCCCCCCCCCAACAAAAAAACCCCAACCTTGCTAGCTAACCAGGGTGCAGAAATAACATAAGGCAACTTACCCTGTAACTACAATGTATTTTCCATCTGGTTGTTCTTTGAGACGCTTCAGTGTTGACAGTGAGATTTTGGCTTTACATTGACCATACAACTCTACTTCATCTGAAATCAAGCCAATTTCTCTGGCCAGTTCACCAATGGGCTTAGGAGTACATGACCGTGAAACTTCGATGTCACTGAAAAACAACAGTTATATTGAGAAAGGAGAAGATAGCATTCTAATCTCTCATTAAATATCGGGAATATACAAGTCACACCTAAATTCGCCCTTTTTCTTTGGACCTTGAAAGTGCAGGCTTTCTCAATGCTCTTCTATGTGAAAACTTTCCCAAAGTTTAGAAAATAATATAGCAGGAAGAAGGATGGGTGAAAATCCTTTCCTAGATATGCTTGCTTTCCTGCACATTTCAACAAACAAGTCCAGCTTTCTGCAGCCCACAACTACTCCTACTTCTGCAGCCTTGCAATCCACAGCTACTCTTCCTCCAAATGTCAATAGTTGTATAATTAGCAATGGCAAATCTGGACTGAAGCACAAAAATGCATTTAGGAAAAACATGAGGCCCCCCCAAAATAAAACCCCCAAAGAGAGCTGACATTCCTAGAACTTTCCAGTAGTTGAGAAAGTATGTTGGATAAGAGAGAAGAAAATAAGCACAGTGCTCTGAAGGAGGCATAAGAAAGGCGTGATATGAAAAGAAATATTCTATGTTGTAACACTTGAATGAATGTGCTACTGCTTTTACTTTTACTTTTGTCCATTTTCTCTATACCAGCAGAAACTCCAATTGAGGGTATAAAAAAGTTTTTTCCTGCTCTCTGTCTCACTGAGACACAGCAAGGCACAAATACAGACTTCCATTCATACCCTTTCTATACCAATTTTTATTACTTCTTTCTTACCTTGGAACAGGAGTTACAGGAGTGAGCAGTCTATATTGAATATTCCACTTGCCAGGTTGATAGTTCTCAAGAAAACGTTGAGCACTTTCTACTGTACTCTGAATTGGTGTTTTAAAAAGGAAAATAAAATAAAAATTACTTACTGTAACCAATAATCCATCTGTTTTGCCTTGTTTAGAAAATTTAAGTTGCACAATAAAATCTGCAAAAGGCAGGAAGCAGCTCTATATCCTTTAAATACAGCATTAGGTAAATATATGTATACCTCATTTGCATTTTTGGTGCACAATTTATATTTGCTTTTCAGAAACCTATTTCTGTATAACTTCCTAAACACTTCAATACACATCAAGATTCTAACTATGTTCCTTGTCCAGGTCTTTAATCTGCTGTGATAAACATTGCAAAGTGGCCTTGTTATCTTCTTTTTCTCAATTTAACCCAAGCTTTCTCAGCTTGCGCCCTCCCGATGTGTTACAGTGGTAAATTTTAAGAAGACTTTTGCTTCCCTGTACTAACTGAGAATTTTAGTAGGTGGGACTGGTATATGTTTTACATTTGGAAAACAAATAAATCTGGAAGGCACCAGCTTAATGTAATATAAATGCTTTTTATTGTTTATCTGAGATACAGTGAGTTATATTATTCATTGTTTCTATTTTCTTTTCATATTATTGCATTGAACCTCTGGATTCAAATTCTTATTCAGCCTCAAAACTCCCTAACTAACTTTAGGTCAGTCAAACTCAGCCCAAAAACCAATTACATTCAAAAGATGGCTTGTAAATAGAACGAGCAGAGAAAATATTCTGCATTCTACTTATATCCTGGAGGAAAAAAAGAGTAATAATAATTATTAAAGTTTTGAGATGCCTTTAATTATCATTTAAGACAAGCAGAAAATAGAGAGTATTTTTGTTCAATCATTGCAACGAAAGCACAGGTGAGTGCGGGGAAAAAGGCTGAAATGGAGCAACTTCTGGCTCCTCCATTGATTTTGTTTGTGGGAAGCCAGCAGGGAATGTCAGAAATTGTGATCCTGTAGCTGCAGCTTACTGTGATGTCATTATTGCAAGCCAGGCATCAGGTGCCTTATCCAATCAATGTAGAATTGAATGCTTTATTGTAATCAGTCAAGCTACATGCAAGTTGGCCTTCCTTTTCTTTCAGTTTTCCAAAATCACCTTGGCTATATATATGGACAGTGTTGAGCAGCAATTCTATTTCAGGTGTGTTTTTCCATATAGGATCTCCCACTTGAACATCCTCAGCATTGACAAAATCACCATCAGTCAATTGCAGAAGGCAGCTGAGATGTTACCTTTAATATCATCACAAACATCCATATTTGCCTATCTCAGGTTCCTGGGAGAGACTGGATAGGGGGTCAAAAATGCAAAATCTAGTTTGGACTTCTGGCTGATTGTGCAATGAGTCACAATTGTCCTAGTTTCTAGATGGTATTACTTGATCAGGTATTATTTAGTCTTCATGTTCTTCAAGTTTTCTTTCATCCATTCTAGCTTGCTTGCATCTGATCTTTAGCAGGCTGTCTTATTTTCTGCCTGATTTTCATTTTGGTGATGCACTGTTTGGCTTTTTATTCTTGTCTGCTGATTTTGCATCCAAGCTATTCAATTATAACTGCAGTAGTGCTGTACATTAGCTGGTTTGCTTATTTCTGATTCTGGATGTTGTTCTTTCCAGAACTGGTGCATTCTTTTCAAATATCCTTTCTCACTGGATTTCATTTGAAGTAGCAGATCATTATTTTCTTTGTTTTCAGTGTTTGCCTATTTGCGATGGGTAACAACTTTTCTTCCTATAGTCCTGCAGCTGCTGGCACCGTTCAGCAACTATCCTGAGCTTATTTATCACCAGATGTCCAGAAACACCTACTGTGGTCCTTGTTGAACTGGGTGATGACCCATCCAATAAGGGTTTTGTAAATTATATCTCACCATATCATTTTTGGGACAGACACTGTCCATCTAGCTCCTCTGATGAGACAGATTAGTTAAACCTCCAGGGTAGCTCTCATCCTCCTTGGAGTATGCATGCCCCCCTCCCGTAACAATGTCAAATGAATGCCTCACTGGAGGATTATTATTATTATCCCTAATTATACTGCATGTAGAGCCTTATGAAAAAGACTGGTCATGATCTAAAGATATTCTGGGAAAACTAGATGATTTAAATCTGTGTAGGATGAAACGGAGAGCACTGCTAGGTACCTATACTACACAGAAACTCGGTGGAAAGTGAAAAAAGGCTCTTCCCCAACGTGAGGTACTCACCTGCATCAGCATTGCAACGGTCATTGGTCCAACCCCACCGGGGACAGGGGTGATATAAGCTGCTCTCTCCTTTGCTGAAGCATAAGCTACATCTCCAACAACTCTTTTCCCACTGGCCTTTGTGTTATCTGTGAAGGAGAGATAAGAACACACTGGAGGAAAATGATGCCCCCAAAACATATCAATCCTATGAGAGGCAACAGAAAATAAAGCTTTAGGTTAGCTCGCAATGACAAAATCTCCATCTACACCAATATTCTTCTTAGCATTGCTGAGTTAACACATTCTCAGCTAGTCCTTCTTTTTCAGATTTGTTTAAAAACTGTTTTGTTAGCATGCTTGTGAATAAACATGACTGATCCAGGCTTGAGGGCAGAATTCTGGAAAACAATAGCTTTCTTCAAGAAGCAAGGTTTACTTCCAATGTCATGCATGTCTCATAATTGCAAATGGAGATACTTAAGTATCTGCCAGAAAACTAAAAGTTTCCAGATTACTGAAGAAAGGAAATGATGGGAGAGGAACAATAATCCTGCTCTAACGTGGTGGAATTGGCATTTCAAAATAATATTTAACTCAAGATTTCAGCAGGTTTACTAAAGGTACTTTTTAATCAGGATTGGGAAGGAACTTTTTAGTTTCAGCAGTACAGAGGGCAACTTTTGAATTTATTAAAAACATCCTTACTGCTTCAGGCAACTGGGGGCAATTGTTTGGAAGATTAGCTGTTTTGTTATTGCACTAAGATGGGAAGAGATACTCTTGGCACTTTACTTGCTCCATCAGCCTCAGATGCTAAAGAAGAATAAGCAAGAATAGAAAAAAAAAATATGACTGAAGGTGTGCCCGGTATAATGTTGCAGGATCCAATCTGGTTCAGTCACTAGAACTAGAGGTTTAATCTTCCAAGCTTTTGTATTTTTGCTGGAACCGATCTTTACAGATTCCAGTAGAGAGAAGGCTCCAGGACAAGGCCAAAAAGCTTGGAAGACTAAACCAGTGACCAACCCAGATTGCATCCTGCAAAAAATATAGTGCAGCAGAGAGCAGCATTTCTTTACTGCACGTTACAAAGACATGTAATGAAATAACCTGGATTCCACAGGATTCTTGGATTTCATTTAAGGAAAGACAAGGAATACAAATTAGAAACTCCAATGGCAAGGCAAGGCAAGTTAAAATATTGGAGGTAGTTTTCTCCTTTCTTAGAAGCTAGTTAGCAGAGAACTAGTATAAAGCACATTACTAAAAATAGAAATCACAAATACATACACTTTTCAATAAATAGATTTTAATATTATCATAATTTCATACCAGATCTATGAAACAACTTCAACCCAAAGCACTTTTTCTATTGTTTTTAATTATGGTTTTAGTCCTGGCATGGGATTCTTTTATATGGCTACTTCAATAAGGCACCAAACAAAAAGCTCTAAATAATTATAGCTACCTCTTGAAGCTTCACAAAAGTAGCTTGGGTCTCCATAGCAGCAGTTATCAAACTAATGGCAGAGGTTTAATGGGAGCCTTGATTTTCTCACAACCAGGTTGCTAGCTGCTTACCACATATTTAAGAATAATACCCTGACTTCCAGTTTGGGCTTTTTCGGTGACAGACAGAAATCGCGATTGTGTGTGGTTTTGATCCCTGCTAGCCGCTGGAGTGCCCCGAGCCACCCAGATTTGGGGCTGAAGCCACCCTGTAGAGGTGGTGAAGAAGGGGGAGCCATTAACGGGATTGAGGAGAGTTGCATCTCTCCTCCTCGGCTGGCCATTACTCCCTTTCCCAAAGGCAGTTGCAGCGGTGGTCAGAAATGGCCACCTCAAAGATGAAACCGGCTGGACAAGATTGTGCAGGAGGAAGTTTAAAGGAGAAAGTTTGACTGACCGGATTGAATGGAGAACATCTATTTAAGGTACCTGGAGCCTGAATTTTAAAGATTAATACTATTCCTAAAAAAGATTTTAAGTGGTGAAAGAGAAAGGGAAAGGAAACAGAATTGGCTTTTTTTCCTCTCACATTGACAGTTTTAATTGACTTGGAACATTAAGGAGAAGAGATTCGAATAAGAAATTGATACTAATCCACTTTGACATTAATAGGCTATTTCTAGCTGAAAATAAAGTGTCAAAGGGATAAAGATTCTTGGATAATTTAAAATTTTTCTTTAAAAAAAGAAAGAAAGCAGCGGAGGGAAAAAAGGAAAAAAAGAAGGTAGAATCTGGAAAATGGAGGAAACCACCTGGAACTTAAAAAAAATTGACAGCGGAAATTTAACAAGGCTTGCAAAAGATACATTGGAGCTGAAACTTTGTTACAAAATAACAAAGCCCCTGGAAAGAGCAAGTGAGAAAAGAAGCAAGAAACAGTTTTGGATTATTGGATGATTCCTGGAACTTTGGATGGAGGATCCTAATGAAACAAAATAAAATCAATTGGGGGTTGTTTAAATTTTTTTAAAAATGGCATCACTCCTTGAAGAGTTAAAAATGAGACTTAAAGAACAAAAAGAAGAAGCACAAGAGGGAAGAGGATTTTTTGGCTTCATATTTCAATTTTTAGAAATGGAGATCTTGAACTATGAAAAACAACAAGAAACACTGGCAAAACAAGAAGGGTGAGACAATGAAGAAGTCATCTTTAATGACCAAGCAATTTTAAGCAGGGTAAAAAAGGGAAAGGGTGGAAAGGGAGTTAAAAACTTAAGCACTGAAGCAACAATAAAAAAAAGAGTAATTTGAAAAGTAATAATAATATCAGGAAGAAGCAGAAGGGAGGATCGCAGAAGGGAGAATCAGATAGAAAAGGGAATAAAAAGGGGAGGGAGAAGAAGAGAGGGAAAGGAAAAGAAGCTACAAAGGACAGAAACAAGATATAGAGGTACAGGAAAAGCATACAAGAATTAAAGGTATAAACTTATCTAAAAGACACAGAGACAATGGTTAAAATTTAACTTAAGGAAAGGATTCTACAAGGGTGCATGGGATAGCATTGTTATATTAGAAATAGAAAAGGGTTAGAAAATATGTTTAGGTGATTAAAGTGATAAGAAAAATTTGTACTGATATGTAATGGAATATTTGTTTGTAAAGAGAATAAGGCTCTCAATGATTTTAAAAGAAAGTTTTAAAAAAACTGAAAAGACACATGGAAGATTTTTATCAGTTGACAAGATGAACTTGAATAAGAATAATAACTTTATTGACTATTGTTAATAGCTATTGTTTGGGTTTTTATTTAAAGACAGTAATGAGTAAAATATGAAAGACAAGTGAAAGACAAGTGATATTACTAGGTAATGTTTGTTAAAAGAAATAGAAATGTAAAAGATTGTTATTAATATTAATGGCAGAGCTGTACTTGCATAGAATAATTATTCCATTTATTATTGCTATACATATACACACAGATATATATACATATATACTTTTTTCTTTTAAGAATTTAGTGTGTATTTTTAAGGGAATGTACCAAGCAGAATTCAATTGAAAATAGGTATGTGTTATAAAATAGGTTAGCAAATGAATGTTATAACTGTAAATGTGTAACTTAAATTTTTAAACAAGATTTGAAAAAAGATACCAAGATACAAAAAAGATATACTCCAGTCTAGTAATTACAGGGGAAAATTTGTTTTATGAGAAAAGATAATATGAAATTGTAAACAGGACAAACGAAAGTATAAAAACATCGATTAGAAAGATTTTAAAAATTAGAAAAAGATATGTAATTGAATTAAGAAAGGAATGAGATAATTTAAAATAAGGCTATAGGAAGTAAAGGGAAAAGCTATTGAAAAAAATTGCGAAAATAGTTATAAGATATGGATTAGAATGTATAAGATAAATACGTATTGAGTTTATGTCTGTATGGAGAAGTGATAACCCGGGGTCACGCTGTTCTCAAAAAAAGGATATTTTATTTGTATTTGTATGTTTTTTGAAAACTTAAATAAAACTTTTATTTTAAAAAAAGAAAAATTGGTTGCCATTCTGGTTGTCATTCTGCCTGTCAGCATCACTCCCACCAAAACACTTTCCTTTGGCACCAAGGTATTGCTGGAACATTGAGAGCTGAAAGATACAGCAACTGTCCTTGGAAAGTCTGAAGTAGACTTTAAGCAAAGGTTTTGTGCCCCAGGGAGTGAGTAGAGCCTATTCATCCTGGGCAGGGTTGAAAACGGTCTGAGGAACCAATGTGTACCTTTTTAAGGCCTTAAAATCGGTCTGCACTTGTTTTAAAGAAAAGAAATCTTACACATCTTAAATGTCTATGGAGATTCTCAGTCATCCAGGTCATGGTTATCCCAAAGCTGCTTTTTCAAGAGGCAACGGGACTTTCTGGGTTTTCTTCTGAAGATGTTTCGCTTCTCATCAAGAAGCTTCTTCAGCTCTGACAGGATGGTGGGGAATGGAAGGATTTATATTCCTTGCAGACAGCTGTCAGAGCTAAAAAAGATTCTTGGATGAGAAGTGTAGCTTCTTCAAAGCAAAACCAGAAAGTCCAGTTGTCTCTTGAAAAAGCACCTTTGGGATACACATCTTAAAATGTGAAAAAGACTGTCTTAAAACCTCACGTCCTCATCCTCCTAAAAAATGGGTAAAATATTTTGGGCTTGCTGGGTTTCTGGTGTCCCCTAAGCGTTTTCTTTATCAGGCTGGGTATTACCAACATCATTTGTGGCCCATGAGCCTTAACTTACCACAAGTTCAAATTCAACATTTCTCCACCTCCCCCCACATGGGAATGAGTCAACTGGGGCTGTCTTCTTCAGAAATGACTCAGCTAGCTAGTGTTGCACCTTATGGGGTTTTTTTTCTTATCCTCAAAGGCAGATGATGAAGTGAGCCACAATTGCTAAGAAACGTGAAGAAAATGAGCATCTTTATTAGATGCTTTGATTAGTTAAGTGCAATTACTGATAGATCACTTATAAAAGCAACCTTTCTAGAAGTGCAGTAAGTAGGAGGAGAGCAACTGTTTGACAGGTGTGACTAATCCTCTTAGTTTCTTACACTGGAGCAGATGGGTAGAGAAGCTCCACTTTACTAAGGAAGAACCTTACGCAACCAATCTCTGGTTTATTAATTAATTTCTCAGTAAGAAAGTAATGATTTCATCCAAAATCCTAACCAGATTGTCTATCCAACTGAACAAATCCTTGGCTAAAAGCTATTCATGGCTTGTTTGGTTTTGGCTAACTACTGTGAATTTAGTGCATTGTCTAAACTTAGTGAATTTTTCAACAAACCATTTGTGAATATAGTTGCAGAGTTCCTTGGAGAAAGGGCAGGGTGTAAAAATCATACATAAATAGAAATACTATGAGAGACACACTAAGAATTGCTGTTTGTTCTTTCTTGGATTTCATTTTGCGATGATTCAGAAAAGATTAACATATACATTCATTCCTAGCATTGCATTTCCTTCATGTCTGTCTGTCCGTCCATCCATCCATCCATCCATCCATCCATCCATCCATCCATCCATCC